CTCTCTCTCTCTCTCTCTCTCTCTCTCTCTCTCTCTCTCTATTTATCACAAATGAATCTCTGTCTCTCACACTTACTGTGTAACTTTCGATGTAACACTGAAATTCACTATTCACGCTATTATTAAACGGCTTTCGGCTGGCTGACTGCCTGGCAAAACCATAAAATATTCCAACAACGGAATGCATGCATGAAATACACACAATAATACAATACTGGAAAAGGTTAACCATACACCAAATTCAGGCCCCGCTATTTTGATGTTTTGCACGTAAACATGTGGAAATTTATGAATGCATAAATGCTCTCGCCTCAACGACTGATTGAAATGAGATAAACAACACAGATAAAATAAGTGTTTTAAGCGTTAATTGTGCTCGATGTGTGACGACATGTTGTGCGTGAGATTGGAATATTAATAACGATGTTACTGTATATTGAATTTATGGTTGATGCCAAACAAAAGCGCTGTCCCGTGTAAATCCTGATGAAGGTGAAAATGTTGCGAGTTTAACAAACAAACAGAACGATTTATTCGATTTGCGCATCATTTTGACACGAAGCTTTGGAATTTATTCAAGTGTGTGGCTTTAATTTTCATTTGAGATGGCTAATTTTCTAGATTTTATTTACACTTCAACACGCATCTGTCGGGATCGAAATTCCCATCAGAACCGCTTGCAAACGATCTTTTCCTCCCATACTCAACCATTTACTTTGTTTCACTATCTCTAGGCTATTTTTTCTTATTGCTTAATCAAAAGACCAACCGAATCACTTCCATTCGAACAATTTCCAAAGAATATTCTCACTTTTACTAATTGAAATAACGTTACACGCTTTGATTCATACCTTTTTTTCTTCTCTCCACAGAGTTTCTTCAACCGCAACATATTTGGCCTTATATTCAGCAAAATTTCATGCACCATCATTCGCAAGTTCATTATCAAGGATTTCATGTAAGCCCATATTGAATGCCCATTTTCAGTGTGCGATGCTGTTAGTTTGTGAATGATCGAACGATATACACAAGCACATATCCATTCGCGGCAGAACCTGCAAATGATTTTTTCTCTTGTTGTTTCTTTTTGTGTGTGTGTGTGTGTTTAATTCAGGTCACAAACAATAACCATCAGCAAAATAACCACAATAATTTACATCAAGAACAGCAACCGCAGCATAATCATCATCAGCATGTGCCGTCACCAATTAGTTGTAACAATGAAATCGACAATCTATCGAACAGTAACAATAATAATAGCAGTAGTCTTAACAATAATGCGAGCGGAACAAATGCCGATAGCACGGCCATCGTGTCTGACATTCAGGATGCTGAACAACAAAATAGATTAAGGTAGGCAAAAAAAACTGTATCACCAACGCCGCCGTCGCCGCAACCAATCAACGACGCGGAAAAAACAATTGCAAGAGAAATAAAAGTCGTTTAAATCAAGATAAAATGATTTGTGAATTGAATTCGAGACTTGATTTGATCGCTTTTCTTTCATACAAACTGTAATTGGATGCTAACCGCATTTCAAATCGATGCTAAAATTGAATTAAACTTCTAAATCACACACTTAATTAGCATCGAGTTTCATCTGCTCTGCTCGTTACATTATTAACACGTGGTTCATTCTATTTTTGTTTGTTCTATCAGGGAAAAGCAACAATTGCAACAGCAGCAACAATTGATTGCGAAACCGTTGGCGAGTCGACCAGCTCCACCATTTTTACATCATACACTAAGTCATCCCCATCTTCACTCATTATTGGCTCATTGCCGAAATCCTTACATCGGAGCTGGTGAGAACACACTACATACATTTGTTTCCTCTTCATTCGATTCCGCTTAGTAACGACAATTCGATTTATTTTCCCCTAACTAGGCGCTGGTCCTCAAGTGTTTCCATTACCTCCTGGTCAAGGTTTTCCATGGGCGCATTCGACACGCGGTAAACCGCGACGAGGAATGATGCGAAGAGCCGTTTTTTCCGGTAATTATCCTATCAATATGATTTTTGATTGTCAATTTTTTTTCTTCTGGCCCAAGTTCTGCATGTGATTATTCTAAATTGCGTTTGTTTTTTTTTTCACTCGAAAATTGATTGATTCAGATTCACAACGGAAAGGGCTGGAAAAGCGATTTCAAATGCAGAAGTATATCAGTAAGCCGGATCGCAAAAAACTCGCCGAAAGACTTGGCCTTAAGGATTCACAGGTAAATTAATATTGTTTTTTTTTTTCACTTCTTTCTCCTTTGAGTTTTGATTTCGATTTATATGGAAATGACATGTGATGGGAGAAATATTAAATCGATTCGAAACATGAACAGAAAAAAAGAACAAATAAAAAAAAAAGGAAACCGAAAAAAAAGATAGTGAGTTGATTCACATCGAAACCATAACAAATTCAGTCAGAATCACACAGACACACGCACACACACCGTGTGCAAAAATTGTTATGTAAAATTATGTGTACCATGAAAAATTGATGTGCGGTGATTGACATGCTTCGTTCGTTCGGTTGTTTGGCTGGTCAAACAGGATGCAAACGAACGAACACAACGGAATCCAAAAGGAAAAAACTCCGCCTTGCAGTAAACAATGCTCTTAACTTTCCGTATAATATTTTCATTGTTATAGATGTGTGTTTTTTTCTTTTTCTTCTTCTGCGCTCTCTCTCTTTCACGTGCTCTCCTGTTCTCCGTTCTTTTTGGCATACAAAAGGCCACATCCCAGCATCTTAAATGCGCAGACGCCTATATTCCGTATGAATATATCTCGAAACACTCTACCGTACACCAGTGGTAGCGATGCCAGTATGTGTGTTTGTTGCGAATGAATACCAACACAAATATCACATACAACCCTTATTATTTTAGATCCATCCCATTTTTTCAATTTTCGCTTTTTGTTCTGTGTTTGATACACTTCATCCATCATTGTCGGAATATACGTGGCCGAAACGACCGGCGATAGAGAGAAAAGTGCACACAAAGAGCGAACGAGAGTGAGAGACCGAGGGAAAAAAAGGAATTGTATGAAAATTCATTTCGTTATGAAAATCATATTTTTGTGCTGGAATGAAGCGAAAGAATAAAAACGAACGCACGGACATAAAGGGTTTTAATTCGTTGGCATTTGTCAAATTGAAAGAATTCGTAGATAAGCGTGAAATTGAATGAAAAATTACGCTCGACATTCGTCGTTCAAAAGCGATAACTCTCTTTTTCGCTCTGTTCACCTTTTCAACGTGTAACAATGGCGTCGGAATAAATAAGTTTGAGGTTGAATCGCTACTTTTCATTTCAAAAGAAATGTATTCTCTCCCAGCTCACGGAAAACGGAAAAAGAGATGAACAGAAATGGAAATTTTTGCGTCCATCTCTTTTGGAGAAAGAAACAAAGAACGAGAAGAAAAAAAACTTAACTCATTCGTTATAAATTCGATGCGATCGGTTGAGTTAATTAAAATTTGGTGTGCCTGTGAATGGAGACAGTTTTTCAATTTCCTTTTAACAAATTAGCCACCGCATTGCGTGCGATTGATTTTCCACATCGATCTGGCCTGGTATTAAAATAATGAAACCGGAAAATCCGGAAAACGTTTTTCGAGGCCCATTTGTTATTCATTTGGGCTTGTAAATACACCATTGAGTGAGTAGCCTTCAAGCGATTTACGATAATAAATCTGAAGTGTAATGCCGAAAATATTGTAAATGCCTTGGTCCGATCGCTCCTCTCTCTCTCTCTCTCTCTCTCTCTCTCTCTTTCGGCACACGACTTTTTGGGCCCGCAACCAGCAAAAAAAAACGAAACCAAAATAAATAGAAAATGAGGGAATGATTAAAATCAACCGACAAACCAACGACAGCCAAGAGCAATAAACAAACCAATCGAATAATCGCTTTAATTTTCGAACATGCATTCAAACAATTCCGCCAGTCAGATATGAAAAGGCGCTGCTGCTGCTCCGGCACACGCACACGCACATTACAAGAAAAGCAGCAGAAACGACGATGGGGTGGGGGATGAGAGTGAGTGCGCAATGGCCATAACAAACATGCGAAAGAGCCCATCGAGCGCAAATCCATATCGTTTACCCGATTTTCTTACATGAATGAATAATTTCAAATTGAAGTACTCACTTAAATAAATAATATTTGCTTACCGCAAGAAATCTAATCATAATCCCATTGCTTAAATTTATATCTGTATGCATAAAACATTATCCCTATTTATAACGGCATCCGCTCACACACTCTCACTCTCTCTCTCTCTCCATGCCTCCTTCTCTTGCTCTGTTTCGACACTCTGTCGCACACTCCGCAATCCACTTCACTCTCGACTCAATTACGTGCACCGATCTGGGTGCCGTTTGTACCGATTTTTGCTCGCTTTTTCTGGTTACTGCTGTCGCTGCTGCCTTGCCTTCTTCATTCATATTCCTTGTGGCCATTGAATTCGCATTTTTCTCTCTCTCTCTGCTCGTTTGCTTCATGATTTGCCAAAAATTTATTGATCTGAAAAATAGGAACGTTTAAGCAAAACACTGTGATACGACAACGACGATGACGACGTTGACGGCTGAACAACAAACGATGGCAATCGCTATGATGATGACAATGTAATGCTCTCTATTCACTTTAATATACGTATGTTTGTGTATTTATATTCTGTGTGTCGTGCGCGCTTAACTCACCAAATGGAGTGGCCTCAATGCGTTGGTTCTGCGTTTGGAAAAACCAAAAGGAAAAAAAAAAACAAAACAAAAAAAACTTCAAAAAGTTAAAACGTCAAATGCATTTGTGACATACTCTCTCTAAGCAGCGGCAGTACATCAGCCTGCGAGCACACGCATACCAATCGATGTTTTGAGGGTGAAAAACCGAAGACCGAAAGAGAAGAAGAGCAGAATCGCATACAATGGATTCATGTGTATGTGTGCTTTGGCTACGTATTTCGGTGTTGAAACCAGCACACAGCACAGCAAATGAGGCAGATTGCTCGTTCATCTAAAAGAAACAGTTCGCAAAACGTTCTATCCTTCATTTTTCATTGTTAATCGAAAGGTCACAATTGTCAATTGCAGTCTTTCCACATTAAGAATGATTGTGTTTACGTAGACGAGAATCGAGCGAGCGATTGAACGAAGAAGGTACGGGACATGCACACGGAATAAAAGTGGAGAAGAAAACTCACAGAAAAAGACAAGAAACGGAAAGAATATTCGAGTGACTCGCATCTTTGAATGATTTTTGGCGGTGGCGAGGGATAAAACGATTAGGAAATCGATTAAGACTAATTTTCTAAGCATTTTTTTGTGTGTGTGAGACGCATTCAATTCACCCCACGAAGCATTTAACGATAATTATTATTCAATCAAGTGATTTGATCGCCTCACAAACAAGCCAATTCATAATTCGCTCTCCTAATTGATTATTCGGCCAATAAATTCATAATCAAATCAGAGTAATACACACAAACGAGAAAAAAAAAGTTCAGCAAATTAATTATCATGAAGGGACTGTGTAATTTTCTCGAAGAGAATTGGCTCAAAGCAATGTTCATCTTGGGATTTACGTTGTAGTTAACATGGCAAAAATAGCGACCGCCACTGTCATCGCCATCATCATTGTCATCGTTTGATGTTTAACGGTGATACGAAAATTAAGATGCAAATGTTGGAACTGTTGCACAGCACACTCTACGCAATACGCAAACATGATCCATACAAAGGCTAATCTGCTTTTGCACCCTCGGCACAAATAAAATGTCATCATCATAACTATCTGTAATCAAAAATCAACGCGTCGGCATCATCAAATCCAATGGCCATATATAATTTGTACGTTGTGCGTTTGCATTGTTTGTGTGTTTTCCATTCCATTTGATTTCCATCCCCTTTCATTTACCACACCATACCACACATCCACTCGAATGTGTTTGTTTGCATGTGTATTTGCTTAAGCTAAACACATACTAAACGCTCCACATATAAATATCATTTGAATCAATTTAAGCGAATATGTAGTTTTTTTTTCAATAAAAATGAAACAAACACTTTTACTCTCACTCGTACGCACACCACACCGCATTGCCACAATAAAGTGAAGCTAAATGCACGCCAACTGGCTAAAGAAGAAACATATTGTTTTCTCAGTAACTTTTATTTAGATGTCTTTGTCTCGTTTATTGTTATTCACTTCAACAGTCATTAGCACAGACTGTTACAGCTAACGTCATTGCTCCCAATTTAATATGTTTGAAGAGTATCGAATTATACACCCCGATGCTCACACTCTTTCTCTCTCTCTCTCTGCTACTGTTGTTGCCGCCACCGCCACAGCACATTACAAACATTCATCCATCGTGTGATGCCTGTTTATTTCTACTTCAGCAACCAACATCTTCTGCACTCGTTCCATAATAAATAACAATATTCAGCGCTGTTGTTTTTTCTCTCTGTCTTCGACGCAAAAAGAAATATCCTAAATCTCGATTTCGGTCGGTTGTTCTTTTCAACGACCATTTCTCTAAATGACGTGAATACAAATTTTGATAACAATACGAAATGATGATGTACATTATCGATCGGTTGGCACAACGAAATTGCTTCGACGATGACCAGAATATTGAATTTCCTTAAATGGTTTTCGCCACAGATTATAAATATCGAGAAAAACAAACTGCGTCGGTACAAATGTTCGTTTGCCATTTCATTATTATTCAATACAAATTGGATACACTCAACCGAATCAAAGCGCATTTATCCATTTAGTCGGGCGCGCAAACAAATAGATAAACAGAACATAAGTGTCAGATTTCATGTAGGAAAAAATTATTTATTTTTTCTTGCTTGCAAAATTTGTTGTGCAAGAGGAAATCGTTTTGTGTCTCGCGTGCGCGTGAGCGTTCGGCAATCGATTTGATTCTATTTGAACAATTTTCGTAAACATTTTCCTTTATCATTATTGTGATTGTTATTGTTTTGCGCTTAAGAGCATCGAAAATGGTTGTTGAAACGGTAACGACGACGGCGGCGGCTGCTGCTGCTACGACGGCGATGACGGCGAACAAGACGGGGTGACGATCTTGTTTGGCCCATCAAAAACATATGCTGCACGAACGTCTGATAAATAGACAATTGCATACACAGAATGAAACGAAGTGTGCACACACACACTCTTTCGACGATTTTCGAAAGTGAGCATACTATACTTTGGAGAAAAGTATCTCGCGCGACATTTTCTCGACCAACACCAATATTCATTCTATGCAATAAACGAGCATAGATTTTCCGTCCCGGAACACGCGCGCGCACGCACAACAATAACAACGAAGAAAGAAGAAAAAAAAGTCGCTCACTCGCTCTCTGATGAGCGGAGAAAATCAATCGTCTGAGAGAGTGAATATGCAGACACAACTGTTGTTTGTTGTGTGTGTGATTATGTAACAAATTCAGCAGTCGAAATAAAATAAGATGTTTTCAACAGAACAGAAAACGATTCGAGAACATATGGTGGATTTGTGATAAATGAAAATGTCGAGCTTGTGACCAAATTACTAACGAACATTCATTGAAATAGGTTGTTGCAAATCGATCGTTAGCCATTCAGTGCGAAACTTTCAACACGAACGAACGATGAGCAATATATGTACCAAACAATTGTCATTTCAGTGTTTATGCGATGAAGACGTGCTAAAAATTACTATGCTCCAAATCAAAACACGAGATTAAAATAGAGAGAGTGAGATTGAGAAAGAAAGAGAAAGAGAGAACGAGAGGGAGAGAGAGAGAGAGAGAGAGAGAGAGAAACGGCAGTTAATTCAAGTACAATAGCCTATTTTATTCGTTTGCACCCGTCAAATCAACATCATCGTCCGTTTTTTGAGCATTGTTTTAGGCCGAGACGATGAAAACATCCAAAGCGATCTGTTGTTTGATTTTTTTTTTTTGCTTTTGGTTGTTGTCATTTGTTTTGCGGTTTTATTACACATTTTATGCAACAAACAAGGAATGCGTACAACTGCGACACACTCGCACACACACACATACTCAGAATCGTACAAAAGGTTCATTTCAGTGGAAAAGTTGTTTGAGAAGCGGTTTGGCTTAATAATTTAGATAGAGCAAGAGTGTTATAAAAGTTTTTTTCTTTTTCTGGCTCTATGTTGTTTGGTCCATTCGAGAATTCGGGTTTTTCCACTCTCTCTCTCTCTCTCTCTCTCTATCTCTCTCTGTGTAAATGTCTTTGTTGCTGCGTCGTCGATGTCATTGTTGTTATTAGTGTCTCGTGTGTGAGCGTGTGCACACTGGCGGCGCACGGAATAATAGTGGATGTCTGCAATTGACACATTTGGAAAAAGGCGGGAAATTTCATGATGTTCATGTAACTGTTTTTGAATTATATACATTCATTATACGCTCATATTATTTGCCTAACTTAATCGCATGCAATTTTCTTTTCGCCGATGTGCTAATATCACTCTCATCCGCCGCATTTCCTCCTTCTCTCACTCGCTCTCTGTGTGTCTCTGGTTTCGGGGTCGGCCAGCATATTTTAGCTGCTGCCGGTTTTTTCTGGTGAGGCGACGATCACAACACGACTTTGTCTATGGGTTCACACAGCAAATCACCCACAACACACAATTTAACACAAACAATTTGAATACACACAAACACACAATATGAATATTCGGTGAACCCTCTTGTTCGTTCCGGAGGCGAATTTCCCTTTCGGCTTTGATTGGATGATGCGTGCGTGCGTGTGATTGTGGGAGCAAACACAGCAGAGCTCGCTCGCTTGCCTATTTGTGTGTATCGCTTTTTGATTTCCATCAAATGCCCAAATAAATCGGCAATATTAATCCATATCTCTCTCTATCGTGCGTTTTATTGCGGATGTAATTGATTTGAGACTCAATGAATTTATTGTAGATGTTGGTGTTTATTGTATAATAATTTTAATAATGTATCCAATCCCATTGACATGAGGCTTTTGTTCTTCTTGTGCCATTCAGTTAAATGGAGACCGTGTCTGAAGTGTTCATGCGTCGTACACATTGTCGAATCAATATCAGTGCATGGAGCAGCGCGTTTATGGTTTTAATGTATACCATCAAAATATGTGAATTTTAATTAATTTCTCTCTCCCCCTATCTTGCTCTCGCTCATTCTCAGCATACTCTACATTACAACGGGTCCAAACTGTTACAATTATTACAGTTAGTACGTAATGCAATGTTGAGGTGATGCTCTTTTTGCAACAAAGTTAGTTTGATGACAATGTTTTGTCTCCGCCTTTCTCAAGTAATACCAATACATCGCGCATCATTTCGGAATAGTTTGTGTGCGGAGGGAAAAAAAAAGTTTTGTAAAACTTTCATGGCCATTTCAAGATAGTAAAAGTACCGCAACCAAAAACAATTATCCCTTTGGAAATGTTCAATCGAACAACAACAACAGTAAAAAACACGTTTAAAGAGATACAGCCAGCAGCAGCAGCAGCAGCAGCAGCAACAGAAGAGAAAAAAAACGTATCCGCAATGACGTAGTTGTCAAAATTACTTTTTATACATCTGCATTTTGAGTGATTAACTGAATTGTGGCAGCTCTTGAAAGGAAATGCATGCGTATCTAAAGTAGTTCCGGTGAATGTAATTCAATGTAACTCATTCATTGAATTACGTGTTGATTGATTCTTTTGCGTACATTCGCAATTTTACGGCTGGAATTTTCAATGGCAAGAAGTTTACAATGGGAATTGATGTTGTTGTTTTTTTCGTATGTCTTTGGTTTGATTCCATCACTTACTTCAGTTCTCGGTTGAATCATGAGACCACATCACATGCATCATACATTCACTGAATACAAATGCAATTGTAAAACCATGCATTTTCATTATTTTTAGTCATTAAAGTGAATGAAGAAAAAAAAAATTGTACACGTTAACTGAATTTGGAACAGAAAAAAAAAGAAATATCGAAATTTTTACGGAAATTTACGAAATGCAGACGGAAATTAGGCACGGGCCCAAAAATGTGATCGATTGATTAGTGTGTGTGTGTGTGTTGATGATTGGTGAACAAAGTGCCGGTTGATGTGGCGCACACTCGTCCTTTCAATCTCTCGTCATCTATTAATCACACATATTCGTATTGAATGTCAACCATTACTACACAATTGCTGAATGACTGCGCTTTTGTTGCGTCATTCAACCGAATGATCGATGAATTTTGACAAATTTTCTGTTATGGTTTAATTTTTATTGTGTCGCCACATTGTTTCTCGCTCTTTTTCTCTGCATATTATGCATCGCATCACCATTTTTGTGACGAAAAGTGATGAAAAAGGCACAAAGAAAATGCATTCAACGTTATAAGTAAAAAGGCGTGAAAATGTGGCAGCGGAATTGAATTCTATCTCGCACATATTGCATTCGAACGGAAATTATTCAATTGAATAACATATGGATGTAATCACATAGTTAAACTTCGATTTTTATACCAATTTCGCTCAATTGAAGTAGAATTAATATTTCAGTTATTTTCGGAAGAAAAAAAGAAACGTTATTAAATTCAACTTTTCATATTTTCATGTAAGATTCTCAAACGATTTTTCTTTTGATTTGCAGGTGAAAATTTGGTTTCAGAACCGACGGATGAAGGTACTTACTCATTTTCATTTTAAGGTATTTATGAATGAAGGAACTTACTCATCTCACTTATTTTTATTTTTATTTTTTTCATAAAGTGGAGAAATTCTAAAGAACGTGAGTTATTGGCAAGTGGTGGTAGTCGTGATCAAACCCTTCCAAATAAAAATAATCCCAATCCAGATTTATCGGATGCCCGCACCGATCGTCAGCCATCCATTTCACCGGCTTCGGCGTCACCAAACTCCAGTCTCATGGATCAATCACAGTCAGCACAAAATCTTGATCATTTCCCCAGCCCACCAAGTATGACGCCAACGAGTAAAGCAAACATGGAATTGCACAGTAAGAACAATGTCATTTTAGCGAATGGCTGCAATGGCAAAGAAGGAAAATCATTTAAAATTGAAAAAGGTGCAACGATGAATGAAAGTAACCATCCATTCGTCGATCAATTTATGCCAAATGCAAACCAATCCATTTTGTCGCACATGAGCTCATCGTCGAGCGAAGAGAATCGACGCGAATCGGCACCACAACAGCACCTGTTTAACAACTTTTACGACAAAGTTCGTGACATCAATAGTTCCGTATCGTTTAATAATCGATCTGAAAATGTTGGTAACATGTCGAACTACTATTATGACGAATTTGATTCAAACTCCGACGAAGAGATTAGCGTAACTTGAGTCGATTAAGTGGGATGACTTATTTTCCTTGGCTTTAATAGAAGCTATACATGAATATACGATATATTTTATCACTCTCATTGCTGTGTAACGCAAGAAAAATGATTTTTTTGTCTCAATCAAAAGACTCTTGAGAATTCTCACCAAAAAAGATTCTCAGTTCGAAACATCTTCGAACCGACTGAATGGAATTACTCAAGACACATTTCCATGTCTCATGATTTCATCAATCGAAACATATTGTTTCTAATAAATTTCTAATGAAATTCGCCTGACTTTTTTTTTGCTCAAAATTCATTTTTACTGAATAAATAAAATTCCTGTTTGGGGTGCGAAAATGCAAACTAATTTTCCAAGGAACCAAATTGGTCTTGCCGTCGGCTGATGATCAAAAACAAACTACGACAACTTTCACAGAAGACAATGAAAGAATTCAACGTATATAAATCCAGCTGGAAGTTGGAATTTCATAAATGTAAATAAAATTGCAAATAAAGAAAAGAAAAATTAATTTTGTTCTATAAGTGATTCGCTAAGTAAGAAGAACTGCTTCAACAAGTTCGTAAAGCATTTTGAAGCCAAAAAAGTATATAAATGTTCAGCACCGAAATGAAGAATCGAATCGGTTGCACATTTGGCTTCCATGTATTGACACACACATGAAATGAAAATTTATCGATTAATAAAAATTGACTAAATATTTAGTAAGAGGACCCGCTCAGTCTATGTATGTGAAGATAAACTTGATAAAAACAGACACAATTTTAAACTCAAAACCAAAAATAGAAACTATTTAATAAACTCCATTGTAAGATTGTCATTGTAATTTATTTAGTTGGTCAAAATAAAGTGAAAAATTTACGATAAAAATAACATGCAAAACATTGGTGTCTCGCTATCTTTTTTTCATCCCATCCAGAAACTTTTTTCTTGTTACTACTATCGTAAGTACAAATTGTACTTAGTACATTTTTCATATCTCTTCTTTTTTATCGAGCATAAAATTCACACTCATCTAATTTCTAAGACTGGAAAGAAGAGAGAACAGAAATTCAAAACCAATACATAATTAAAACACCGGCAAAAAAATACATTCAAAAATTTAAAAGAGAATGTCTTTATTTTCGTTTTGAGGTTGAATGTTAAAGACATTGAAAATTGGTTATAACATTCGGTAATATCGTAGAAAGTTGCTTTCAAATCAAATTATTTTTTTTTTAGAAATTACTTTTAATTTTACTATTTTTAGTATTAAAACATTTCGATTGTTTTTTTTGTTTGTTTCATGTATAGAAGGCTAACAAAATCTTAGACAACTAATACTTCCATTTGTCCATAACATGATTTCGGTTTGATGAGAAGCTGTGTCGACGTTGCATGGATTCGTTTTGATATGCGTTGGATGTGGATGGTGTGGAGACATTAATCTGTATGTCGAGCAGTGAAGGTGGCGTATTCAATTGGCTGTTTTGAACTTTGGCACTTCGCATGGTTGAAGTTAGTCGACTGTTTGATGGAGTTGGAAGATCATTATATTTGACATAATTGAGTGGCTTCTTTCGTTTCGAAGTGTTGTTATCAGTGTCTGCATCACTTGGGTAAACGTTTATTTTAAGACCAAACAATTTTCGGTCCAAAATCAATGGTGGCAATGTTCGGTCTTTTCTCATTTGGTTGTAATGTTCAATTATATTTTCGTAGTTTTTGTGGTCGTCTCCAGAGAAAACGTATGCCATGTGTTCGCCCATCTTTTGACGTACATCAACTGGTACATTTTGACTGCTTCCGCTAATGACTCCACGCAAACATTTTTGCAATTCATCCAAATGGGATTTTCCTTCAGCAAAACCGTAACGACCAAACAGTACCATATTCAGGTGCTTGCGCAAACGTAGATTTTGCTTAACATTTGACTTCGATGGATTCTGCTCATTTTGGCGAATTCGATTGAACAAACCTTGAACATCGGCCATATGTTTAACATTGCACATTGGCGAGTCCAAAACAGCAACTTGGGAGCGCACATACCGGATCAGTGCATCGCGGTTCTTCGGCAAATTTCCACCCAATTGTTGTTTTTGTGGATTTTCATTTGATTCGAAGAATTCTCTCAAGATATTGTGAAAATCTTGCTGATTACTCGCAATGCCATTCACAATTAATACATTTCCATATTGTCGCCATTCCAAACGCACCGACACATTGTACTGTAGCTCACTGTCACGCAGAAATTGATTACCTTTCTCGGAAAGCAATTTTTTGCAATGATCTTTGGTGAGATGGATCGTAGCATCGCTCTTTTCATTAGCGTTCGTTGTCGAATCGGCGGAAACGGGTGATGGTGATCGAGCTGGTTCGTATTTTTCAGGTTCGTCTGGACTCAACGGTATAAAATCGGGTAAAGCACTTGACGTTGTTACATCATCTTTTTGCCCCGACACATTTACATCACTTTCGATGGTTGTGTCGTGATCGGTACTTTGACCCGTTTCATTGAGGTCATCATCTGATTTTTGCGATAGCATTTTTTCTTTCAATTCTTCCAGCGTGTGTATTTTGTCATCGAGCCGCTTAATTGCAGCTTCTTTATCTGCTGCAAAAATGCCCGTTTCCACTGGATCGGCTCTTGGCTCCTTCGTATCGTGTTCTTCTGTATTCAAATTATCAATCGTCATAAAACTTGAGTCATGTGTATTTTCGGAGTATTGCTCGGAGCTGCTCACATCATCAAGATCGTCCATTTCAAAATCGTAATCATCGTACACTTCGATTGGTGGATCGGATGTGTCATGCAAATTGGTTTCATTCACAAACACTACATCATTCTCGGACGTTGTACTTTGATTTGCATTCAAATTGACTGCACGTCGGAAGCGACCGTAAATTGTATTTCCCACGCTCGACACACTATTGCCAAAGTTGAAATTGTAGTCGTTCAAATCGGATGCCAATATGGTGTATCTCGGTCCTTTGTTGTCAATATTGAATGGTGATTTTAGTAACCATCGATAGCTTGTTATGTTCAGACTTAATGGGCCTGGCGTTCGATTTGCACGGCTACAATTTTCGGCATAGTGGCCCCGGCCAGCGCATAGGCAACAATACTTTACTTTAGGCGGACCATTTGGTGACTTCTCTTTTCGAGCCGGTTTCTCGTTGAGTGATGTCTGTAATATTATTTATATTTGGTATATAGGTTAGATTTTCATTCTTTCCATTCTGATTTGAGTCAAATTTTACATACCGTTGAATGATATCGCCGCCATTTGTCTGGGCAAAGGAATGCTTTATGACCCTTTTGCCTACATAGATGGCAAACTATTTCTCGATCACGATTACATTCACCACATCCGTGAGAGTACCTTTGTGATTTTCGACCACACTGTTTCGAAGTGAAGAAAAAGTAATTGATTAGAATATGGAAAAAATGGAACAATTACAAGTAAACCAGATTGTTTGTTGAAACCGTAGGATTATTGTAAGTATCAACATTTTCAACTCTCAATGCTAGATTTTTATGTGAAAACAACAATTGAATAAAAAAAACGTCTTCAATTATTAAAGTGATTTTTTTCAAGTGTAATAAAAATAGAACTCACTAGGAGACAAATCTTATGGGGACATTTGGGCTCCAAATGACCTTCAACGCCGCACATGTAACAGCGCTTCTTGGATGGTGGCCGTGGGCAATTTTTGGCCAAATGGCCCTTTTCTTGGCAATTAAGGCAGCGGAATTGACGACCCCTGGTTGTGTTAATCGCAGGGAATTTGTCCTTATTTGTTATCATCCAGTTGAGGAAGCCTTCTGCAATATAAGAAAAATATTGGAATTATTAATTCACCGGAACAACTTGAGTCATTTTGGCACAATCATAAGAATGTCGCATAACATTTACGTACTTGGCATACGAGCGCGAATATTTCGAACACTAAATGTCTCACCACCCCAAGATTCGTTGTAAAATCGCCTCATTTCGTCATTCCACCCAATTTCGCTGCCAAACAAGCCATCGTCGTCGTCCGCTTCATTCGGAACCGTTTTCATTTCTGTTTCATCTGCTGTGCTTTGTTTTGGCTCCTCCACTGATTTCGATGGTTCTTCTGTTGGTTGTGGTTGTTCCTTATTCGTTTCAGGCTGTTTTTCCTGAATTGCAGTATTTTCCGATTTCGTATCTTCAATCAGAGATTTACCGTCATCATTCAATGATTCCAGGGCATTTTCATCAAATATTCGACCCAAATTCAGCTCATCGGTTTCACCAACTTGATCGGTGACCTCCCATGCATTTGTTTTCTCAGTATCCGATGGATTTGGTTCGGCTTCGACATTTTGATTCTTCTTCGATTTTTTATTTCGACGTTGCAACACCGTTTCGACAATATCGCGCGCTTCAACTGATTCGGTCGACGTTTCGTGTGGACTTTCCGGTTCATCATTTTCACTTTCGTTCTGACCATGCACAATGTACGATAATTTATTAATGAAATCATCTTCGGAACGCTTTTCAGCTGCAGCCTTATTTGCTTTCGCCAATTTTTTCTTGTTGGAATTTTTAACCTTTCCCAATGCTTCGCCACGAACCAAATACGAATTTTCATTGGACGCATCGTTGTCGTCGTCGGTATCATCATCATCATCTTCCGGTAAATCCGAGCTCGAATCATCCGAATGCTTGTGATCCGATTCCCTTGCACTGCCCGAACTTTTACGTTTTCGCAACCGTTTTGATTTTGCGATCGATACATCTTCAACGCCACTGCTGTCTGAATCAGACATTTGCTTTCTTTTACCCGACGCACCTTTTGCGTAGACGGAATCAGGCATATCCGAACTTTCCGATTCGTATACATCAACGGCAGTGAAACTATTGGCACCAACTTCATACGATTTCTTGACGGTTGCTTTCGTTTTGTCTTTCTGCATTTGTTTGGGCGGTGTAAAAATGGCATTATCATTGTCACTGGGAATGGCAGCACGTTTACTTGAACCAACTTTAGCAGTTTTATTACGTAATTGAGTTTCGACCGTTTCGCTGACTTGACACATTTCTTCATCGGAAAGTGTTCCAAATGTTTCGAAACCGAAATTTCGTTGATCATTTTGTCCAATAAAATCGTCGGCCGATTGAATTGAACTGGATGGGCTGGCACAGCGTGCGGTTTTACGACGATTATCACTAACCGCCGTTGGTTCGGTGAATTCATGCTCTTGAGCATTGGTTGGTGCCGTTTCTTCTTCATCGGAACTGTCAAGGTTAATCAACGGTGGTTCTTGCGTTGGAAGAATAATCACATCGTCATCGTCTTTATCCTCTCCATCCACATCGATAATACCCGTGTTAACCGGTTCTGGTTTCAATTCTACACGATTATTTTTCATATTTTTATTTTGATTTGCCTCTGACTTTCTCTTTTTGGCTTTTCTCGACAATGGGTTGAACGGATTCAATCGTTTGGTATTTTCGAGTTGTTTGCCCATTTCCGCTTCGATCGCTTCATCTTCTTTCAGTAGCTGTTTGTATTGGTCGATTGTGTGTTTCTTACTAAATGGATTGATGTGTTTGGTGGCCAAACTCTTGCGAACCATTTCGTTGTTGGTTTTCTGCACATTCGAATTGGAATAATCTTTGTGGCTTGTGGTGGCAGTTGGTTCTTCAATTGCATTCGAGGTAGAATCTTTAAATGGTAAAAATGATACGTACGGTGTGAACTGCTTCGGTGCGGCAGCGACGGTGGCAGTGTTTGTTTCACGACTTTCATCACTTTTCGCATTATCAGGTGCACTTTTGTTCAGATCTGTGGCCGTCACTTTGCCTGGCCTGTAGACACCGGACTGTTTTTCCTTGAAAAATGCCACAAATTTCGATGGACCACTGTGGTGAGTGTTGGTATTTGTGCTCCAGTATCGTTTGGCATTTCGTCGTGGCCCACTTCGATCGGCTTCTGTCGGTGTATTGTAACCGGAATTACTGCCTGACGCATTGTTGTCATCAGCTTTGGATTGATTTGGCGATTCATCGCATCCCGTGTTGTAATGAATATTTGCGTAGAGCAGGTTTTCCACATGCTCTAGATCCTCTCGATCATAGTCTTCATTTTCAATACTATGCTCCTAAAAATTATAAAACATTTCATTTAACACAATATTCAAAATCGATGAGGAAATTTTCGATAAGTAAAAGTAATTTTTCAATGATATTCCTACCTCGCTCATGTTGATTTCTATCGAAATCGATCCGATTTAACTAACGACCTTAACTAAAAACTATTATTTTTTTTTTGACGATTTTCTTTACTCTCTATATTCTTTACTGAACTGTTGACAGTTCAATGTGTCTAGAGCTTATGTTTCTGCCTGTCGAAAGCATGTTAGCACATGGCGACCAAATGTCATGCATACTCTGATGTTATCAATGCATGTCAACAGTTCAATGGAGCCGGCGAATACGAAACAAAACGAATATGAGTTATTTTATCGGCATCAGATGGGAATTTCAATGAATTTCCATATAAATTCCTTTTTCGTTTGGACCAGGACCACTTCACATACGATTGTTTACGTTAAAAAAAATGCGATTTTTTCATTGATAAATGGGTCGGTTGCCGAAAGCTATTTCGAACCACTTAAGTACACTAAGTATGTGGCAGCGCGTGGAAATATTGAACGCGACCAGTAATCAAAGTGTCAAATAACCAACCATTTTTATTTTTCTTTTTCTTTCACGATTCGTAATTGCAGTGCATGTTATTTAAAGTAAAGTTATTGTGAGGAAAATATATTTTCGTTTCATTTTCATTGCAAAAGGTATTGGGCAAATCCATTTAATTTCAAAATTACCGCATGAATGTGATAGAATGTGATGATAATTATGGGTTTGAATAAATTTTCAGGTCATGAAATGTCGGCAAACAGGATTTAACCCATTGTAAATAACACGCAAATGTTTGGCAATGTGCTCAATTGCAACTGCGTTGTATAATAAATCAAAAGCGAATCATTTGCAAAACGGAGGCAGCAAAATCAAAGCGACATCATTATCAAAAGTGAGATTTTCGGCAGATTAACGGTGTGTGTGGTGTTCGGCGATCGTTTTTTCCCTTGTTGTTATTGTTGCTCGTTGAATTGAGAAACGATACGAACAAACACAGTCGAACGGGACGGACCGCAGAGTCAAAATAATGGAAGGAAAAATTGTAATAAAAGAGAATTTTTTCAAGCCATCCGCCGAGGATATCATCAAAAAGTGGAAAATCCAAAATGATATATTCGATCGGCGAAGGCATGCAACGAACAAAAAGGAAATTGTGGATATATCAAAGTCATGGCGCATCCGTGATCGAATGAAAACCGTGAGTGTTGCGTTGGTTGTGTGTTTAAATGTTGGCGTTGATCCACCGGATGTGTTTAAAATAACGCCATGCGCACGATTGGAATGCTGGATTGATCCGTCGTCGATGTCACCGCAAAAGGCGCTCGAATTAATCGGTGCCAATCTACAGAAACAGTATGAACGATGGCAGCCACGGGCACGATACAAGCAATCCTTGGATCCAACCGTTGAGGATGTGAAAAAATTGTGTGTTTCATTGCGTCGCAATGCAAAAGAGGAACGTGTACTGTTCCATTATAATGGGCACGGTGTACCGCGGCCAACAGTCAACGGTGAAATATGGGTATTTAATCGCACATACACCCAATATATTCCGCTGTCGATTTACGATCTACAATCCTGGATGGGATCACCGTCAATTTATGTATACGATTGCTCAAACGCTGGCATCATTGTCAAGTGGTTCATTCAGTTTGCCGAACAGCATGAACGGGAATTTGAGCAAATTGCATCGAGTACCGGAAATTTGAATGCATCGCCCAGCACTCAACCGTGCAATTCATTTCGAAATTGTATCCAATTGGCTGCTTGTAGTGAGGACCAAATTCTACCAATGAATCCACAATTGCCAGCCGATTTATTTACCGCTTGCCTAACCACACCAATCAAAATCGCTTTGAAATGGTTTATGCTACAAAAAACGTCGATTTTGGTGCCGCATCTCACACAGGATCTAATCGATCGCATCCCCGGCCAATTGAACGATAGACGCACCATGCTCGGTGAGCTCAATTGGATTTTCACTGCAATCACCGATACAATTGCATGGAACACACTGCCCAGAGATCTCTTTCAACGACTGTTTCGTCAGGATCTCTTGGTGGCGAGTTTGTTTCGCAATTTTTTGCTCGCCGAACGTATAATGCGCTCATACGATTGCACACCAGTTTCTAGTCCGCAAATTCCAAATGGATATCGGCATCACATGTGGCAAGCATGGGATTTAGCCATCGATTTAGCATTGCAACAACTGCCCGATATCGTTGAACGCAATGCACCATACCAAAATTCACCATTTTTCGAAGATCAATTGACCGCTTTCCATGTTTGGCTTGAACGCGGCAACGAAGAACGTGAACCACCCGAACAACTTCCGATTGGTAAGGAGCATTTCATTTTCCACGTTTTTTTTTTCTTTCCAATTTCAAAATGTAATTCTTTTTCCTCTGTGTTCGTTTAGTTTTACAAGTGCTGCTATCACAAGTACATCGGTTGCGTGCCTTGGAATTGCTTGGAAGATTTTTAGACTTAGGACCGTGGGCAGTAAATTTGGCGTTGAGCGTTGGAATTTTCCCATATGTATTGAAATTGTTGCAAGCATCGGCAAAAGAATTGCGACCGCTGTTGGTGTTTATTTGGGCGAAAATCCTAGCGGTTGATGTTACATGTCAAGTGGACTTGGTCTGTGATCAAGGCCAAAAATACTTTTTATCTGTGTTACAAGATCCAATGATCACACCAAAATATCGCACATTGGCCGCCTTCGTGTTGGCATCAATCGTACACAATTTCCCAATGGGACAGGCGAGTGCACTGCAATCCTCATTAGTTTCCATTTGTTTGGAGCAGATAAACGATCGTTGTGCATCGTTGCGTCAATGGTTGGCAATATGTTTAGGTCATTTATGGCAAAATTATGACAAGGCACGATGGTCGGGCGTACGTGATTTGGCCCATGAAAAACTGTTCAAATTGCTCGAGGATAATGTGCCGGAGGTGAGAGCGGCTGCCGTTTATGCATTGGGCACATTTATCAGTTCTCAGAAAACGGATCGCACCGAGCACGCAGATAATTTGGATCGAAGCATAGCGCTAACACTATTCTCAACGGTTGGCAATGACATGAGCCCGATTGTGAGAATGGAATTGCTGGCCGCTTTACAGTGGATTGTTATGTTGTTTTTGAAAGTATTTAAGGCAGCATCGACACAAGACTCCAATCCCAGCAGTAGTTGGGATAGGAAAATGATGCGCGTATCAAGCTGTGGATCAATCAATAATTTCTCGACGCTGGGATTCAATTCGATTTATATAAAATTGTGGCGTGGTCTATTGTCATTTTGCCATGATCCGTGTCCTGATGTTGTGAAAATGGCCAAGGAAATTGTAATGTATATTATTATCGATTTGACGCCAGCCGAAGAAGCTGACAAAGGAATGTATTCATCAAGTAGCATTAGTTTGCCGCCCAGTCCAAACACTCGAACCGGCTATCTCGGCGGTAGTTCACCACCCGTATCGCACAGTTTGGCCATAAACCGGCATGCAAACGAAAGCATCGGAAGCATCGAGCGAAATAATTCACGAAGCACAACACCGATTCAGAATCGTAATCAACCGGGAAATCGATCGCGGAAAAATTCACGCATCGAAAACGATGGAATTCCGGCCAATTCAACGATAAACGCTGATATCAATATAACATCAGGCAGCTCGTCAAATGACGAAAATCAAGATCCATTGAAACCAAAGCCGATCGTTACAACTAATTACATTTCATGGAGCACGGCCAATGTCACGAATATGGGTGAAAAACATGAAAAATATTTTACAAAATCTCGTTGCAAACATTTGGATGGTAGATTAGTGCGTGACATTGAGTATTCCATACAAAACGGCGTTTCTACCTTGTATTTGACGCAATTATGGGCAGCACAAACACAAAGTACCCCAAATTTAATACGATTTCATCCGTTCGAAGAGCAAATTGCCGTTGCATACAAAGATAAAGTTATGGTCAATGATCGGGATAGTAAAGTGATTCATGCATATGCACCGACTGAAATTCCGCTCAACATTCCAATGCATTGGCGTCATGCACAAAATGTCGAAGTGACATCGTTCGAATTCATCAATCCATCGACACGTGCCCTCGTGTTGATTGGACACGACGATGGATGCATTCGCATTTGGAAACCACCGACTGACAATAAGGAAAAACCCACTCTAATCACGGGCTGGCAAGCGATTAACGATGTGACCAGTGCAAGTCGCATGGTGAACACATGCGGCCTAATCACCACATATCAACCGATGAATAATGTCATTGTGAGCGGCAGCACTGCTAAATGTATACGCTTCTGGGATCCGGAAACGGAACGAAAAGTGGCCGAAATCCCAACCGATAGCGAGGCAGCTGTACGAGTTTTAAGTACATCGAATGAAGGTTTAACCATAGCTGGATTTGATGATGGCTGCTGTAAAATTCTTGACAAACGATGCAACCCATCATCGTCGATTGTGTGTTCGTATCGCGAACACAATGAACGATTGCTAGAATGTTCAATGGTCACCGAAACTGGTACCTTATTCACTGGCTGTCGACAGGGTAGCTGTGTTTGCATTGATTTTCGTAAAAATCTCGTTATGGAACGATGGAAGACAAATCGTGAAGCCACCGCAATGGCTGTTTATCCATATAGCAATATTGTGGCTATTGGGTCCGACTCAGCGATCACACTTTATCATTACAATGGACAAGAATTGAATCGAACACGAAGCAGCAGTGACGGTGTTTATCGTGGAACGCGCAAATATATCTCCTGCTTAACATTTCATCCGCTCAAAGGGCACATCGCCAGTGGCTATTCGGACAATTTAGTATCGGCCTACGAAATGAATGACAAAGTGACCAAACCTATTTCCTATTATTGGTAAAAAGGAAACATAAAATAAAAAGCAACAAGCAACAATCGAACACCGAAGGCACTTAACTATTTAGCGCATTTGTATAAAAGCTATATTTTGTGGCATCAGCTTCGCATATGAAGCACTGTAAATAGAATCCTTCTTTTTTAGCTTTAGATACAATATATCTAAGGACGAAACACGCGACCATTATTTCAACGTGCAAAAACAAAAACAAATAAACCTTTTCGATCATGCATACACTATGAAAAATCTACTATATTCGATCGATATTTGGTGATAAGAAATTAATAATGACGATAATAATGATAAATGATATGTAAGCACTAAGCATGGCCATGTTTGTATCTAAATTATATATATATATATATATATATATATAAAGTATAAACCAAAACACTCTCACACATACTCAAAATAGCCGAAATGAATGAACGGATTTTCACAACTAAAATAGCACACATTGCAGTTCCATTTAACAGAACAAAGAAAATATGTATATATTGCAGCAAAAGAGAGAAAATACATAGCATTTTTCGTTTTTTTTTTCTTTATCAAATCTAGTCCCATGTTTATTCTGTAATTTGTTTCCATTGAAACTGCGACACATGCATCTGTTTGGCTTTCAAATCAGATACCAAAACTGTTTCGTTGCTATGAGTTAAATAAATGTATACATTGATCACGGTCTCTGCTATTCTATCCACACACACATCAACGAAATCATCTTCGATTTGCATTTCTCAGCGATAGAAAAGAAACGGGAATATTTGCATTTAACTAACCATATATTCAAGCAAAATGTGTATGAATTTCCGGAGAGAAGAAAATCAATAAAAAAATATTGAAAAAAACAGAAGATTTTTTTTAATTTCCATTGGATTTTTATCTTTTATCGTTGTGGATGACATAATTCTTGGGAATTCTCACCTTCTATTTTCAGATTGACCATACTGTTGAATTGGCTTGCAGCTGAGCTAACTGTGGCAAAATTTAATGATATGCAAATGACAAAAATAGAACAACATAAAAAAATAAACAAATTGAATTGGTTCAAAAGTATCTTTTATTTCACATTTTAATAACAGGTTTGCATGCAACCTCAATCAATTTTAAAATCTTTATCATTTCAAGCATGACGTTAATCACGGGAGAGTCAATGAACTCAATGGACGAAATAGAGAGATAAAAACAAATTGTGATGAAAAAAAAGTTCGAATCATCAATGTTCTGTAAAATAAAGACTAAACAAATGTAATTATTTGCTGTACAATCAACAGGTGATTAGAAAATCACAATCGGAGCATTGTTTGCCTTACGAGAAGAAAAAAACTAATAGAAAACAAAATGTTAAAATCATGCATATAATTGGCACTCATCATAGGCATTCATAGGTTCACTGTTACATTTTCACTTTGTTATTCGATGTCACCTCGGTTCAAACCACCATCAATTTAATTCAATTATTATAATTGAATACACTTAGCCGTAAACATTGATTGAATATTGTTAAATTTATTAAATACAATTTGAGTTGAGTATTTTCCTATTTCGTCTGTTACTGTCTATTGAATAACACACATTCCTGTGTAATACTTGTTTTTTTTTCTTCGTTATTTCTGACAGTTGATCAATTGTAATTGTGTTATGTCAAAACTATTTTGTGCCATTCGAATCAAAGTGGATTGTTATGAGTGTAGATTGTATGTAGAGTATGAAAGCAGAAATGAACCTGTGAGCATAAAAACGACTTATAAAAACGTAGCCGAACAAAGCGAAACACCTATTTGTTATTCGTTCAATTCGGAACAAATTGTACACTGGTATGTTACGCCGACAAATCTATGTTACGTTTTGATGGGCGATTTTTTTAAGTCGTTTTTATGCTCATGGGTTCAAATAACATTACGTAGATTTAGATAAATATCATCTTATTATGATCTCAATATATGCATATTCTTGTCATTTGAATTGCATGTGATTGACTCTGTGTGTGTTTCGTGCACATTGAATTATCATATCATATAAATAGCACACTGGAACGATGTCAATGTCACTCTTGTGTTGCATCACATAGGTTTTATCACCTATGTCGTCATCGTTAGCAAGGCAACATAATGTGTCTTTTTAATTTTATCCCTTTTTTTTTAAATATTAACTAATATCAAGATCAAGAAAAAAATTATTGGTGTTTAGGTGTTTAGGCAAGAAATATAGTCTTGAAATAAAATTAAAAACCAAGTCTAAATGAGAAAAATCAACGGTAAAATTTACAAAATTCTTTTTCTTTTGTGCAATAGAAAAAATTTCTTTGCTTCCATAGAAATGGCTTCCAGAGATTGGGAAATTCAATAAATATCGAGCGAATGCCATTGATTTTAATCATCATGAGTATTCATTATGTGTGTGTATATGTTTTATGTTTCTTTTTTTTTGTCTTAATGAAAAAACAATTGGGAAACATTTTCCAGCAGCATAGTGGTAGCCCCCTTTACATTTGAACAAAAAATTAAGCCGAACCAATTTGATTTGACTTCAATCAAAAAAATTCGAATTCATACAAATGTGGTAAGCGAGAGCGCATCAAAAATCCACTTAACATTCGACTTTCAAAACAAATAGGAGAGTTTATTTCTAATTTTGATAATCAGTCATTCGAAATGTACAATGTAATGAATGCCGTCAACCAAACTAGTCACGTTTTATACAATAGTTGCCCATAGACAAGATAAATTCAACGCATTGATAAATGTATTTGGTTATTTTTGTCTCGTTTTTCTTTTCATTGCATTGTATTGCACTGATTTGAGAATTAATCATATGAGCTGCATGCGGAAGTACATTACAATTCATGATACGCTCTCGCCTTCGGCCATCTATTCTTTTTATCTCATTTAAAACGATCCTAATAACTTAATTACAATATGGTTTTGTCTTTTTCACGGGACGAACAGTCGCTCGTTTACCCGGTGCCGAACAGGTAACATTCGATTTCACAATAAAGTCGTACACCTTTCTCATATCGTTCGATTTAATTTCATGCGAGGTAATCATTCCGCGGACTTCACACAAGTCTTTATAAGGCAAATAATTAAATAAATGGTAGTTTTGCGGCTGGATGCCAGCTTTTTCAGCGCATATACCTATGGAAAAGGAGAAAATATACCCAATTTTAATCATAACATTTCTGAAACTAATTTTCTAAAAATGCATTACCAGTCAAGAAGACGTCCTCTAGATGGAGCAATGGGGTGTCCATCGATACATTGTACAATTTTTCTGCCGTGTCCATTGTTAACACGTAGCCAGTGCCCGATAGATAATTCGGATAGATACTCTTATCGTACATGTAACGCGGCGTGAACCTACAGTTAATGGACAATTTTCACATTCACTTAGTTATTTCAAATGATTATGATTCACATTTAATTGGAGAAGATTGAAATTTAAATAAATTTTCTTTTGGTTCAATTTCTTTGCCAAATTTACCATTTGCTTCTGAGGTCTAATATTGGTTTCGATTTGCAAAATCGTGTGCCAATCAGCAAATCCTCGTACTGGCAAAGCCGATTTTTGGAAGAAAGTATGCGCACCGTTTGTTCATTGTAACGCTGCAATGTGGCATTATAAATAGGAACGGTGCCACCGAGCAGAAAATGAATTAAATTTGGTACATTGACAAACGTATCGTCATCACATTTCATGATAAACTTCACTGGAATTCCAAATAAATGCAATTAGTGAATTTAAAACTAGGAAATAACAAATCAGATTGCTCTCACCTTTGCCACCGGCACAATTGATATTGATCCATTTCAGCATCATAATGGTTTTCAACGTTAAATTATTGTAGGTATCTATAAAACTCTCCTGTATCAAATCGTTGTGCGTGCGATTCTCTTCAACAATTTTATCTTGTGTATCATTGTTGTCGGTTTGACCAACGAGAAAGACGGTTCGAATTTGAAAATCTACATGACTAGGATCATCCTTATTACTATCACTGATGTTATCGCTAACATTTGCGGAAGACTCCTGTGAACGAAAGATCGAAAAACAAAAAAACGTCAATGCATGAATCACAACAAAAACAAGACATAAAATTACATAACGTCGCATGAATTATGCGGAAAACGTTGGCCTACCTTGTGATGTCTCACAGTGAAATTCCTCCAATCGCCATAATTAATAGGTAAATATTTTCCTTTGAATCGTGAATGCAGCGTTGAGAACTTGGAATAGTTGAATTCAGTTGTGTTTGCCCATGTTTCACGTAATGTTTTCCTAAATAATTAACACATCGTAAATTTGATTTAATTTTTTCTACACATGAGAAACACGTGGAAGTCGTTATTTGAATTTCATTTACCGAATTTCAAAATTTTCAGCTGCCGAACAAATCACGATGAGTAGCAAAATTGGGAAATTCTCTCGGCACAATGTTGGCGGTTCTAAAATGGTTGTATTCACATCGGGTAAAATATAAAATGGTATACTTCGGCTTCGATTCCTGTCCCATCCTGAAAGTGACACTGTTCAAACAGTTTTATATTAATTTTTGTCCAATTTTTCCCTCATCGTTATCTAATCGAATTTTGTTTCTATTGAAAAATATTTGTTGATATACCTACCTCCGAACGATGACCCATCGAAATACAGCGATAAATATAGCTGAGACAATACGATCAGCGTCGATGCAAAGCCAAACAGAAACAAAAACCGTTTGAATGATTTATTTTGGCGCGATGATTTATGCGTGGAAAAGATTTGCAAGTTGCCATATTCGGCGAGAAACCTTGTATCGCCCATATAATTCGAGATACGACGATAAATGACATCCGTTTGATTTGCACGTCGGTTGTTTTGAATTAGCGTACAACTTTCGTTGACCTGGGTATTGTGTATGGTGTTCGATGAATCACTCGCATCGCTGCCGGTATCATTGTCACTTTCTTCGCTCACTTGAATCGAATCGTAATCAACACACTTGTCCATTGCATTGCAGTGATGTGAATTTTGGAAGATTTTTAGCGATGAACAACTGTTTGTTGCCAAACGAAAAAGAAACAGAAAAATTGAAAACGAGGACACACATAAATAATCTTCTAATCTTCACAAGTAATTAGGTAGTTTACTATGTTTGAATAAATTATAGAAGCACAATTTCGACTGACATACCATTTACAGAACCGAAATCAGAATGGCACATTCTGATCAAGTAAAGCACTAGATATACATATATATCGCAACGGACGACACAATTTGCTAATGAATTTAAAAAAAAAACTAATTTGGCTTTCTCAATTCAAATGAATTTTTTTTTCTCTCGTGGAAAAAAAAAGAAACAAAAATAAAGAATCAAAGAAATAGACGGAATACCATATGTTATACTACAAATAGATATCAACACCGATAAAAAAGAAACGATAGAAACTTTTAAATTTATCACAATTGAATTCCGTTAAAACTACATTTCGGCAAGCGTTTCATAGGAATTCGTTTCTTTTTTGCTTTTATTCAATCGGAAAAAATTATCGAACGAGCAGCAGCAGCAGCAGTGCTACAACTGATGAAAACACAATTCACTGTCAAACCCGAAACGTCAAGTGTACAAGTGTATGTATAAACTGCGCTTTTGTATGCGTAACTACGTGTGCGAGTGTATCTCTCTGTGTGTACGCTCAGTCATCGCTAACACAATTGACCGCTTCGTTCGAATTCTAAACCAGACAAAAGGAACCAAAACCATACATGCGTCTGTTTTCCGTTTCAATTTTTTTATGTTAGCATTTTATAAAATTACAAAATATATATATTACACATTATTCGACATTTTGATATTCTTATCAACTAAATTTCTTGGCAAATAGAATTGTAAATCGATAGAAAATTTATTACTTTGTTTGTTGCTTCATCAATATCTGTTTGTTTGTTTTTTTCTGTTTCTTGATGCGGAGAAAATGGTTTTTGTTCGGCACGTAAGAGATATGAATGATTACAGTATAGCTTCCATAGGATGATGAACGGTAACTGGTGCTTGAATGTGATGTGGTGATAGTTCGGCATTGGTATCATAATGATTTTTTACCGGCGATGAAAGTCCATCGGATTTACCGCCCCCGCTGTGCACATAGTTGATGCACGAACTGGTTGGTTCGGTATTGAATGATGCCGAATCGGATATGGATTGATTGCTGCATTTATTATTGATCAATGGTTCGACCAATGTGAAGCAGGCATGATCGGAATCGTCATGCGGTGTCATTGTTGAATAGCCATGGTCTGATTCACCATTTGGAAGTCGCCGAAAGTATCCAGCACTTCGATATGGTGAATCAGATGAAACGGTGCCCATATTATTTCGCTTATCAACTACATCATTGCCCAGTCCATTGTGTGGCAAAATTGTATCGTAGTCTAGCCGTGATAATGGTAATCCGAAATTATGCTCCACCACCATTGATTCCACATACAAATGCTCAGAGCCTATGTGATTTAAAAAAAAAAAGAGCAGATAAGAATTTTTCATTATTTAGAAAAAAACAGAAGAAAAACGACGAAAGAAGAAATTGTGACATAAACTTGATAAAAATACTCCAAAAAATGTGGACATTCCTTTTGAAATGATAAATGACTGACATTTATCGCTATTTTCTACTCTTATCGTCGAATAAAAGTTTATTTGGGGATATTCCAAATGATGTAAGTATTTTAGTTTCCAAAAAAAACAAAACAGAAACAAATATAAAAGTGTCAAGGTTAAGTTCATACCCGGCTCTAAATTATTCCGATAGCAGTACATTGCGAAGCCGATGACTAAAAATAGAACAACAACAGCACCAATTGCGATTGGACCGATGGCTGCATAGCCTGATGGTAAAATCGAATCGATAATAACACCAAGGTCACCATCGCCATACGGTGTATTCGATCCGAGAATTCCACCAAAGCAACTCGATTGATGGGTACAAAATGGTGATAGTAAAATTGTTTGATCGATATCAATCTCGCACCACACACAGCCCAAAATACCCAAACAATCCAGTTGACTCGAATACATTTCGCACGTGAAATTCACACATTGGCCCAATAAATTGAGCTTATCAGATCTTGATGCTTTCTTATTCGGAATGAACTCTTCGACGGGTCGTGTGCATATTTCAATGCTGTCGAAGAGATTGATTTTCTTGTCGAATGTATTTTTGTCGTCTTCAAGTAAATCAGCGTACATATATTCGGTCACAATGGAACCGATACTGAGACTGTCTATGGGACATTCGCACGGACATTCACAATTCATAAGCTCGATTCGTTTGCAGTTAAAGCAAAGCTTGTCAACTGTACTGCATGGACAAAATGCAGCACCTCCTCCGCCCTCCGTCGAATTTTTCTAAACAAATAAAAGAATCAATGAGTTAATTTGATTGATTTTTGATGTAATGGCATCGACCTACCATAATCACAAATAAATTGGTATTCGGAACGGCTTCAATTTGATACTTGGTTCGCTCACCGTTGACAACGTTCGTCAAAGCACCAGCAACGGACGTATTGAACTTGTAGTACCGTTCAATTTTTCGATTCAACAAATTTTGGCACATTCGTTTCTGCACCAATGATTTATGCAGTAAAATGTCGTTGGCAATCAGCGATTCACAGTGTGTAATATGTTCATTCAAATTGAATTGCATATCAAATGTGGACAATTGCATTTTGGAATCGAAATTATTGGGATAAACCACTAAATAACCATATTCATCGATGAGAAAGCATTTGATATTTTCATCGCTGCGGCAAAAGTCACTTGATTGCAGCAAGACTTGGTAAAGGAAGCCCAATGTCACATCTATCGATACAATGGCGGCTGCATTGCGTTGATGACGATTTCCCGAGCCTGTCCCTCCTCCTCCACCTTCTGGTAATCGAACATTTTCAAAAATTAAATACGATATGGTAATGATGAAACCACCTCCTCCAATATCCAAATATGGAGGTGTTATGATTAATTTGCCCGCATTTTTAATGGCTCTCTGGAACCAGGTACGTCGACTTGGATCAAAGTCGTTTGGCAATGCAAATCCTGGATACATCAGCATTATTCCATTCATCGATGTAATGTACCTTCTGATTACGTACTTTTCGATTTTGCTTCGGAATTGATGTTGAATACGAAGCAGCTCAATTGAATGGGACAACGTCAGAACATCGCTACGCACATGTGGCTGCAAACCGGGGTTCGTGAGCAAATTCGTCGTGTCTTTGATGTATGCCATTATATTTTCAATGCGATGGTAACACTGTTCACGATACTGTTTGTCTTCATTCGAATCATTTTCATATTCACACATGGTTGACAGATGCTGGAAGGGCGATTTGAATGATCGCGGGCTTAAGTACAATGTTGCTGTGTTTAATACTGAAATTTGCTTAAAATATTGGCACAATTTCGGAGCCAATCCTTGTGGATTGCTCAATTTTGTCGAAATTGCTAAATCCAAACGATGGAAAAGGAGCGGATTTTCGGGTTCGGTGTATGTTTCAACCGAAATGTTACTGAGCATTTCCGGCTTTGCAACACGATTCGTTGATGCCAACATAACTGGAGATACCGGAGTCTTGTACGCATGGATACTTGATGCAACCAATATGGGCTTTTCTTCTACTGGAGACGATTGCGGCAGCGGAGGCGATTCCGTTTGTGGTAATATATGCACCAAGCATACAATGTACCAATCGGATAAACGACGCCAACGATACACTTTCTGTAAGAATGAAGAGATTTGAAATTAGAATCGTTGAAAAATCAAATCAATTTCTTCTGTTGAATATTTCATCAAATTTCCGGAGAAAAAAAAAAATGCAAAACTTGCCGATTTCTTGCGATTCCATAAGTTTGCCTTGGAAATTTGCACGATGCCCGTTTCTTCAGTCAACCATCGTTGGCGAATATTTTCGGGTGCCTTTTCGAAATATTTGATATCGGTCGGGTAAGTGGGATCATAGCTCGCGATGTTTGGTCGTGGAAATGACGGATGCCAAACTGTCACACCATTTTTATCACAGAGAAATGCATAAGTCTCATCACCATTTGAATACTGATTAAAGTGATAAATTAAATCTTCCGCCAAATCCGACAGATAAATTGAAATACCAACGATCCCATAGTGTTGGCAGGTTTTTGTTATATAAATTACTTGATCTAAAAGAGATTAGAAATGAATTGAAATCAGAATTATTTTTATGATGAAAAAAAAAATTGTTCAACAATAATAGTTTAAATTGTTTGTAGAAAAAAAAATTGAGAGAATTTTGTGTTTCAATTAAAAAGTACCTTTTACACTTTGATCATAAAACGGCTGATGAACGATAATTTGTGACTTGAGAAATGGTTGTTTGAACCAAATATCAGCTACGGCTGCTGCGGCAGTGGCAAACATATCGTTTATGTTTCGATAATTGACGATATACATTTTTCCGTTTTGATTGTAGGCAACAAGCTGATTGTACCACGATTTTGTCGTACTGTTGTCCACATCAATGGCATATTTGGAGTAGTTCTGGGCGGCAATATCACCCAAAAACTCCTTTCCGTGTATACTTCGTTTTTCGTCTAAAATAAATGTCATTATTTGTTGATTACTTTTCAATGTGGTACAGAAAACCACAACCAATTCAACATTTTCAAATATTTTAATGACTTTTTTTTTAAGTCAAAGCTAAAGACTCACCCAAAATTATTGCACATGTATTAATAACAACGGGTTGCTTTAACCTCTTTTGCTTTGCTGCTATAACTTCTAGCACGGATTTAGTTTCCGGCAGTTGTGCTATCCAACCTCGGCTAAGATACGAAAGATACACAATCTGGAGTGGGGTTGATTTCGTATCAACTGGCAAAGCGCCCAAATCCGATTGTGATTTTATCCATTCGAACGCATATTCAAAAGCCAACGAATGATTGGTTATGCTGGTGTCCTTCTCCAATGACTCTATGAATTTTCTCAATTGACTTTTGTTATTCGAATTCATTGCATAGAACGTTTTTGAGCTGTCCATTATGTGAACACTGTTGGAGATTGCCATCACAAATAGTTGATCATTCTCATTAAGAAGATTCAAAATAATTTGAGCTGTTGCAAAAAAATCGAAAAGGGAAACGACATTGAATTTTTTTCATTCGAAAAAAAAAATTGAAAAATTAAATATATTCTTTTCTTACCAAATGATTTGGTCACGTCAAGTGAATCTGAATTGGTGGTCATGGTTCCAACGTCAACAATCAAAACGATCTTTTTTGAATCCACGGATGAAGCATACAAAAACCTGATAATTGAATTCGATTAGAGTGTGCAATACAACTTTCGATTTTCATGTCAGTCGCCCAAGTCGAATAAAAAGGAACACATGATGTGCGTAATGTTCTATTTACCTGTGATGTTCATTCGGAACGGTATTGCGACAATTGGTGCTGCTTATTTGGTTATCTCTAGGTAAAAAAAATACATCACGAAATTGTGGCAAATGTGTTGCGGACAAGTCAATATTCTTCAGTGTTTCCATCAGTCTTTTGTTGATTGTGAAATTTTTGTCATCATTCTCGTTCAAATGGCCGGCATTTTTCAGGAAGTTCAACACTTCAATCGCCTTTTTCTTATTGATACCGCCAATGAACTCGCTTTGATTTGAATCACCGCTCAGATCATATGCGCTGCGTTCGGCGTGTTTTGGTGTCGACGAACATGGTAAAATGATTGGATCCAGTAGCAATTTGCGTGGTCGATCAATATTCTCCGTAAAAATATTTAAAAATTTCTGATTGGTTTCGTTTAAAATACGTAAAGCTGCGGCGAATTTCGCCTCAATTTTGGTGGCAACTGAGTTGAGAATTTTCGTATCGTTGTGATCAATCGACGACGATGGCACACGTTCGAGTGAATCAAACTCACTTTGAATGGCCGGAATGAGCAGTTCATGGTCTTCAATCGATTTCAATTGTAAATTGAGATCGCGTGTCAAATCCGATATGGCATACCTTTGAATAATTGGATTTGTACCGATTTGTGATGAAGCTGACGATAGTGCGTCATACGATGTAGATTTCGATGGTGCCGACCGATAAGACGTTGACTGGCTACCTGTCGGCCCTGAGCCATAGCTCGACACTTCATCGTTCGTGGCCACAAATTGAATTCCCCAACTTATGGTTATCAGTAAATAGGCTAAGTAACAGAACACCGAACCATCATGATAAATTGGGCTTATCTTAAATAATAACATTTTCCTGGCATTTAACTCATATATTTTTTTACATCCGCTTGTCAAGCCCACTTAATTTTACATTGCCACTCTTCCAAAATCGTATAACTTTAACGCATCGAATCAAATTGCTGGCAAAATGATTCTCTCACATTTTCGTTTGTTGTTGCTGCCACCAAACAAACGGCTTTTGATGTTTTGCTCTCTTTATCAATTGTCGTCAGTCGTTTTCCTCTTAACATTCGCACATTGTAAATACAATACGATTTATTTTTGAAAATTTTCCCCGTCTAATAATTCCAATGAAAACTTGCAGCCAATTTAGTGTAATTTTAATTTTGTATGAAAAAAAAATTTCCCCGGAAGACAGAAACATAAATTTACAAACACATTTCGATGATTGGTGGTGGAAAACCTTTGTTGTCTCGCGGACACTTTGTTTATATCAATATTGACATTGTTTATAGATGCACTACCGCCATACTGTTGTGAACACAATTACACATTAAACCAAAACTACAATGTGTACAACTTTTGCGACAAACACACTGACGGCTCAGCATTCCTTATGTGTAAGATTGTTTGGTTGTGACATTTGACTGTGGATTGATATGATGCCAAGAGCTCAAGTATCGTTAGACCCAAGAAATGGGGTACGTTCCATCATATGTACACCTCACACATACCGAATTCAATCGATTGTTAGCAGTTTTAAACACAAATATTAGCCATGAACATTCCAGTTTAAGTCAATTTGCTCATCGATATTTGTTGTTGCTTATAAATAATTTTATTTTGATATCGGTAATCCATGTTTACTTTTCGATTCCACAACAAATACAAACCATCCAAAGTACACGTATTTAACGATACTTTATGTTTACTTGGCCGTTACCATTGCTATGTGTACCGTGTATATTATTTCTAATGCAATGAAAGCAAATTAAGAAACGTTGACTGTTCTTTTTCTTTTCCTCGACGTAATTTAATGTCGACAAATTTTATTCAGTACAATACAATATTAGAATGCACTCAATACAAATGGAGGTTTCACATAAGCTTTGAATTGATTTACAATAGTAGTAAAGTGCACAATTCATTGCGTTCAAACACTGATAACATTTCTACTTGTAGCCGAACCGGTTGTGCTTATCATACGGTGTTCTTCCATTCCAAAAAAAAATATTTTCGGAAGTACAATTAGCTCAAAATTGCACAATTTCTGTTTCAAAATCGATCACAATCGCTTATAATGAATGAATTTGCGTCAAAAATTTCCGTTATGAATAATTGGAATGATATATTTCATTGTCTTACAATTACTTTGAATTGATTTTGATTATGAAATGGTATGGAATATTCTATTTCGAATGTTTTTTTATTTATTACCGAAATTGAATTCGGTAAGAGCTGCCTTGAGTATAAAAATTAACCGAAAAAATCGAACTTAACGACCAGGAAATGATTTTCAATTTTCACTCTGAAAACGAAGAAAACTTTCCGAGGAACTGTTCTCAATGAGAAACAAAATGCGCACTGTCGATAAAAGTCGATTGCATTGATAAGGTAAAATAAAGGTACTATATAAAAAAAGATCATCAACAAATAAAATCATAAGTAGTTGAATGTGCGCGTTAAAACAAGCTAAACGTACAGTTTATGTGCGAATAAAAATGACAGCAGTATCCGTGTATATCACTCTATTTGTGATAATTTTAGTGTTATGTGGTTTTTTGGTAAGAAATGTTAACCAGTACATAACTGTCGATTCAAAATGATTATGATCATCCTGTTGGCCTGTTTTTTTTCTCATTCAGCTTTTTGTTTTATTCTTTCTATTTCTCTTGAAGTATTGTTGCATTCGCAAAGATCAAAATCATTTTATATCGGTGGTGGCGGCATCGACGACGATGACGTCGGTCAACACGATTTCAAGATCTCTTGATGCGGAAAGAACACATCAACAATCACTTTCGCGTACATACAACCAACTTTATTCAGACCCACCGCCATCGTATGATGAAATTGTCCTTGATATTCGCTTGACCAACTCAAAACCAAATACGGCTATTGTATATTAATCGTTGTATCGACATTTACGTGTAGAAAAAAAAATACCGCAAAAGTTATATTTAAAAATAAACCGAAAAAGAAGCAGAATAAAATAGAGAAACACAAATAAACACACATGAATATGCATTTAAGCTTAGGCTAATTTATAAAAATGCTAGAGTGTTCTTTTTTTCATTTCCAATTTTTAAAGTTAGGTTGATTTTTGTTGTTGTTGTTGTTGTTGTTGAAGTATGGGAAAATTCTGCTGAAAAGTGAATCGTTTTCTTCAGTCAGTCTCACGATTATTTCGTCGATTAATTTTCGCTAATTGTCGTTTCAATCGGAAACCGCTCCTTCTGTGACGATGTCTTCGGTGTTCTTCAGGTGCATCTGGTTGATCGTTTTCGTTTTGTGGTTCGGAACTGTGATGATGATGGCGACGATGTCTGTGTCTATTTCTTCGGCCTCTTGACGATGAACCATGTGAATTATCTTCGTTCACCACATCAACTGTTGGTATAACGACCGTTGGTGCAGCTGGAACAACAGGGCTTTTAACACCGGAAATGGCTTCTTCATACGTGGGCAAACCATCGTTTGATTGACCTTTTACACCACCTTCTGTTGATACATATCCGGGATTTGTGAAATTTGACGGTGTCGAACGATGCACATCGATTGTATACACTGATGATGACTGATTTGCACCACCTAATTTAGAATAACAATTTGTGTAAACATTTTTTTTTCTCTCAGATTAACAACAAAACAAAAACAGCAACACAACACTAAACAAAATAAAAAGTGATAATCGATACGAACCGCATGAAATGCCCGCTTCGTTGGGATACATATCGGCAAAGTTGTCATTGTTACCGCGCACATTTCGAATACAATTCCGTATTTGAAGCTGTGGATACAGAGAAGCAGACGGACTTGGTTCATTAGTTGATTCGGTTTCTTTGGTATCGCATTGTTCTGGTTTTGCTTTTGAATTGCCCATTTTTATTTTGGTTTTCTTTTGTTCTTTCTCGGATTCGGATTATTGTTTATGTGTGTCAAACACAATATTTTAATGACAATTCTAATTGCGATTGTGGAATGAACGGGTAATATTTGTGTGGTTCATTAAAATGACACAGTAAATTAAACACAAATTTTTCTTTGGATGTTTTCTTCCTCAAACAGAACGAACTAAACACACTTGTTCGAAGAAGAAAAAAAAACAGATTCGTTTTCGGAGACGGGCAGAAGTAAAACAATCTGTATAATATAACAATTCGAACGCTACTAACTTGTTTTGACGAAAATAGTTGTGGAAACTACACGTAATAATCAAGTTTGCGTTGCTGGGCTATATTGAGTGGAATGCTTTTTGACGTTGCGTCGAAGATGATTTCAACACGACAGTGCTATTGTGTGACGCAGAGAGAAAAATTCGCAAACAAAGTCCAATGGTAATAACAATACAATCACTGAGCTTAAGATATGCACAGAATAATATATACGTGGATATGGTCGGGGCGTTCGGAAGTTGATCATAACATTTTTTTTTACCAGCAAAAATGAGAAATAAAAGCCAATGTGAATGGCACACGTAATTGCTTTGCTTTGCTTGCCTGCCTGCCCATTCTTAATTTAATCAGATGAAGAGAAGGAGATCTGTTGACTACTATGATGCAAAGCATATTCATTCATAGTGTTGAATTGGCGAGGCCCATTGACTGACGTGGTCTTAACTATATATTAATAGCATCAACACATAAAATCAGAAGCATGGAATCACTTAACATTGACAATTTGAATCATTCGAACCGAAGCAGAGAGCAAAGCAACGATCGAGACGCATAAACGAGAGTGAGAAATTATTTTGTTTCTATTGTCAACGACCTTGAAATTGGAACATTTTCTTACATACATCTAATGGAGACGGAGAAAAAAAATTTAATAAACTAAAATCTGTGTCACGTATGATCGCACGTAATTTACAATAAGCTACTTAACTATATATATATATATATATATTATATTTTTAGATCGTTTTTCGTGTGAGTGTTGTCATCGTTGTGTTAAATAGCCGCAGCCAGTAATTGCAGCATGACCACAGCACTTTTTGCATATGAGCAGGAGAAACAGAGACAAATGCACCAGAATCATGCATGATGAATGTGAAGTGCGTGCAAGTGCAATTCGTGTGATCGTTTTCTGATAGCGCTCGAAAAACAAATGAAACAAATTGATGATCTTTTCGCAACGTAAACAATTTCAACAGCAGGTAGCAAATACGTGATGAGGATCAGTGGTTTATATTTACAATCAACGGTCGTATCTTATCATTTGTGTTGTTTAATTTACTTGATTTCGTTGATAATCACTCATCTGCTTGGAGTAAATGAACCATAATCGATTTAACGAATCTGTTTTTTTTTTGTAAAATGGAGACCAGCGTTGTTTTAAGTTGTGATTTTCAAACCAAACCAAATCACTACAACTATTTGCAATTTCTCAAAAGGATTTTGTTGGCCGGTTAGAAGTCACTGATAGAGCCAACTGTAATTCGGTGGCCTCTTCATTGACTCGGTTTCATATAGATAACGCGTTGTTTATATGGCACACCGTCGTATGATAAAATTGAAATCAGAAAAACAAGTTTAATTTTGAATGGAATAATGGCATATGCGCATAGGTATAGAGCACACAAATAGATGAACAGAAGACGAAAAAAAAAACCACCAGAAAAACACTTTGTTTTGGCCACATATGGAATGTGAATTGAATAGAAGCATTTTTTTGTTATTTGTCATCTCGAATCCAATGAGAAAATGAATCACAATTCACGCCAGACAATAGCACCAAATTTGATTGTGCAATTACAATAGAATGGTTGATTTTTTTCCACTCTATCGAAAAAAACACAAAAAAGTTTTTTTTTAGAGGTTTATTCACATACCGCAGAGAAGACAAGGAAAAAAATGATAATGACGACCCACGCATAGGTGCCAGCATCCATGAATTGATCCATTGTGTGTATAATATTTTCACTTTCTTTATTCAAATTAAACAATTTTTTTTTTCGTTTTTCTCTCTTTTCAAATTGATTAATTTTTCTCTCTCTATATTTTCACTGAAAGCTCACAATTTTTGAATGATTTCCGAATAATTTGGGCAAAAATACATTATTTTGCACTCACAGAAAACAAAAACACGGAATTATCGAAAACAATTTTCGATTGTAGCCTAAGATTTGTGTGGAATCGTTGACTTTGAATTGACTATTAATATCTCGGCACGTAATGGATTGATCCCACTAAATTCAAAATATCACAGTTGACAGAATGCAATGGAATGTAATTTTAATTGCCGCTGCTGTTGCTGATGCGACCAACTCGATTGACTTTCGTTATTTGCCCAATATCGAACAATAAATTGCAATCGCCATCGATAATACGTTGATTAAATGCGCCCAAACACACAAACCAACGGTTTTGTACGTTTGCTGGCCAATTCTGGGATGTTGAGCTCACCGCAGTAGTCTCGTTGTCGTTGTCGACGCTCGTTTTTCCTCTTTCAGTATAAACAGAAGAAAAAAACCGAGTGTCTTTTGTGTTTTTGGGTCGCCGTTGCTTTTGGGCTGTCACCATTCATGCCATTCACACTTGCATATTACTTAATCGTTGTGCTTTTTTTTCTTCTTCTTTCTGTTGATGTTGCTGTTGTTATGCTTCTCGTTATATTCAAATCAATGAAATCGAAATCGAAATCGAAACAAGTCTTAATAATATTTTGTAACTGTGCTGTTCGCTGTAGTGTTTGTTGCTGAGCCCAACCACGCACACACGATTCGTCTATAAGCACAAAGCGGCGGAGACTGAGAGATACCTAGTTCATGTGAACATTTTTTTTTTCTTCAAACCATCGTCGGCCAACGTGATGATGATAAACAACGCTTGGAACATGTATACACTTCTTTTTTGCGCGCCACTCTTTTGTTCATGTGTCTGTGTTCGTGTATATTAATCGCGCCCCCTTTTTTTGCTTTTAATTAATTCAGACGAGGTTAATTTGTTTCTTTCACCAAATCACAAGAGGAAAACGTGCACTACTTTGACCAATTGTATTCAATGTGTGATTTAAATCGCGTAACAAGAAATGGTAGCCAGCCGACACAAGAAAAAAGAGCGGCGATTTGAATAGCATTCACGAATCAAATAGTTGGAATGAAGATTGACTCCGTGGCGACGATCGTGTAACGTTCTCAATCAAATATTATCACAAACTGGTACAAACACCCGAAACTGTGCGAATGAATTTCCGACACATCATAAAGAATTCATTAACGTACATTTGATAATTTTACTCGTTTTTTGTGCTGCTGCTGCTCAAATAAAGTGTTTGCAACACCTGCTGCCGCACTCAAACCGATTCTGACTTTGAATATTTATTCCACAAACTCAGTTCTATTACCATATAATAGATTGTTGTTGTAGCATTTTTTTTGCTGTTCGTTACTTCTAAATTCAATGTCTTTTTTCTGTCGTAATTCGTTTGTGTATTTTCAATGTGTATAAGATAAAGTCGAGTAAATACTGAGTCGCGCGCTAGGTTCGTAAAAATATATATCAATTGTACCACAAAGGAAAAATGCTACAATGATAAAATTCAGTGGCGAGTGAGTCAAAAAAAGTGTGCAAATATGAAAAAGGGGATAATAGCGAAAAGATACGGCGATAATAAGTGTGCAGAAAAAAAACAGGCGTTTCATACGATGAATCGAGCACAGACAATAGGAAAAGGAATTAAATAATTTCTGGCATATTGTACAATACCGTAGCGTCGTAAAAACCATAGCGTCCAAAACACATTTCATGCATATATTAAGGTCTGTTTTTTTTGTCAAAGTTCTGGTGGTGTTGTTTGTTGAGAGTACGGCGCGCGCGGGGCAGAAATAAATAGTTCACCTGCACACAGGTTGATGTGTATTGTTCGTCACAGCCGTTTATATTGCGATATTATGAAACACACTCGAATCCAATTGGAGTCTGAATGTGAGCTCACAAAATACCCGTAGCGACATCTCTCCGAAATTGGCCGCTTCAATCGAACACTCGCACGCACACACACACACTAACACACTAGTTGTTTTCGTCTACCCATAAAGTCCAATGTAACTTGTTAAGTCAAAACAATTTGACGTTGACTTTAATTGATATCCATACGGAAATTCGGGTGTCTCTCACTGTTGAATTTTATCACTACAAAAGGAAACCTACATAACAGATGCGTTCTAGGCTGTGTATAACCAGCATAAAAACACAACAGGTGCAACCAAATAAATAAGATAACAGTGAATAAAATCGAGCAAACATTCGAACACCCAGAAGATTTTTGAGAAAGTATAGAAATTGTGTTGTGTTGTGTTTTATTGCGAGTCTCTATCGTTTTGCCGATCGAAATGTCATCGCGTAAAAGAAGTGGTTCGGGCTCAAAAAGGCCTAAAGAAAAAGTGGTGTATATTTATGAAATGATTTTGCGCACGGATTTTAAAGAGCCAACCAAAGCGAATCCCGAATTTTGGCATGAATTCTTCTTACTGCAACCGAATGTGGAAAGTCTGGAAAATGAGATAACCAAATTGTCGTGTGAACAAATAATTGCGCTCAAAGGCAATATCAATTCGCTGTTTGGCCGATGCATTGAAATGCTAGACTCAGGTAAATTATTTGTTTGGTTTTCTTTTATGCGTCGTACAATTTAAACTAAGTCACCCGTCCCAATTGAAACAAACATTTAAAAAAAAAATTCTAACCATTGAAATAGATCATCCGAAGCGCGTTTGTAACAGTTTACAAACCTTATGTGCCCTTTTCTATGCGGTTTACAAATGGCATGCCACCGAAACGAGTTACATCAGCACCATATTCGATTTTGATGAAGTCGAAGATAAAATGAAAACATTGATTACGAAATGCAACAATCTCATGATATCCGATGTCGCCGAAACACCACGTCTTATGTGCTTGAAACTACTTTTGGTACGTAATCGATACAATTAATAATGTAAACCGTGAATGTCCTCTGATGAGTGTAATGTGACGATTTACCGTGATTTCAATTTATTTTTTCGATGACAACCATAGGTATTAGTCACCGGCTGCAACAATGTTAGCCAAAACATTTTATTGGAATACATTATGCTAAACAGTCAGTTGTTTGAATCTTGTGTACGCCTATTGTCCGATCCAACGCTACGTCAATTACATGGACATGATGTTGTCATACTCTTAACGCTACTCGTCAACTATCGGAAAAGTGAAAGCGCCAATCCGTATATCGTGCAACTATCCATTCTCGCCGATGAGCTTGCATTGAATGGGTAAATATTTGATGCAGCAAAATACCAAAGAAAAAATGGACGAATAAAACGATTGATTTCAAATGAATTTTCTTTTTTTTTCTATTTTTAGCTATGGTCAGATGATTTCAACGTCTCTTATTGATTTTTGTCGTCAATATACACAGAACCTAACCGAAATGCATTCGTCGTCGTGGCTATCGTCATTGTCAAATATTGTGGGTAATATGTTTGTATCAGATGAGGACTGTGATCGTGTACAGCAGATACGTGCCAATAATGCGTTACTGCTGGCGCTGTACGAAGCCGTTCATTTGAATCGAAATTTCATCACGACACTATCGCATACACACGAAACATCTAGCCCACCCTCACCAAGCAATACGTTGAATGCAAACCAGCCCGTGCCCGATTTGGCATCCGCTCCAGCAACGCCAACCGCACTCGACGTCACATCACAATATCCAACCAACTTGCTTGTGGCTATGTTTCAATATTGGTTGGTTGCATTTGCACTGAACAAACCGATTTTGTTGACAGAAATTGGAAAATTGAATTGGTTCTCTTTTTTTTATCCACAGTTCAATCGTGATGCAGGACAACAAAAACGAATCAAGTGCAGCCAATTTGAAGTTATGCTTCCTCATTTTGACATGCATTTCAGAGGATCAATATGCCAATTCTATGATGCATGACAGTAATCTAACATACAAAGTGCTGTTACATCGTGCACCAATGCGACATCGTAAATTGGCACAAGTAAGATATTTAAAAAGAGACAATGCCAAATTCTTGCTGTGTACTCACCTTTGATCCTAGCTAGTTAAAACCATCATTGAATCGATATGTCTAAACGATTTGCAATTTTCCAATCCAATCAATCAATAGGATCGTTTGTCGAAATCCCAGCCACTTGCCGCTATTCTATTGGATTTACTCGTGGAATTTATCGTGTCACACCTCATGAAAAAGTTTCCAATCGAATTGTATTTGTTATCGGTTGGCGTGATCCATCGCATTTTATGCTATCAAAAACGGTATCGTGTGCGACTCATTTATCCGTGGAAGGATATGTGGGCGGCTCTAATCAGTTTGCTAAAATTCTTAGTCAATCAAGAGCCGAATTTGATAAAGAAATGCAACATATTCCATTTAGCCATTCAAATCATCAACATTTTCAACCTGTTTATCACATACGGCGACACATTCTTGGCCACAACAAACAGCTACGACGAACTTTACTATGAACTGAATCGTGAAGAGAAAGCATTTACCGAACTCCATGCCATGGGTAGGTGTCTACCGAAAACCAATCATTTTCTGAAAATGACTTCATCTCAACAAATAAAAATAATTTTACGTCTGTTCGAAATGATAAATTTGTTTGTGTTTTTCACCCATACAGTGCTTCGATTTTCATTGATGTCTGACTGTGAGTACAAGGAAGATGTACTGAAACTGATGAATTCCTTGGTAAACATTCTGGCAATTGTAAAGCATTTTCAAAATAAAATCAAAGACTGGCTGGCTTGTCAGGGTCTGTCGACGCCAACCGAAGAACAAGTACTCGAAGTGGTTCGCAAAAATTATGATCTAACATTAAAACTGCAAGACTCACTGGATCATTACGAACGCTATAATGAACGGCCAAAGCATGTGCAATTCTTTACGAATATGGTGCGTGAAGTTGTGATTGACACACGAAAACAAGTGTATGCAAGCATCAAAGAAGTCGTTCATACGCCACAGATTTGTGCGGCGACCACTACATCATCACCCACAACCCCAGCACCAATCAACACATCCAATTCACTCAGTTCGAACAACAGTACTAGTACGACACCAATATCATCGATAGCGCCCGTCTAAAAGTCGACACAAACTGAACTGTTTTCGAGGCTTTTTTACGAACAAACATTTACAATCATGCAGAGAGCATTTTTATCATTTTTTTTTAAGAATTTGACTTTTCTTATTTTAATATAGTTTTTTTTTTGGACGAAAGAAAGCTTAATTGAATGTTATTATAATAGTTATTGATCAATATGTATCTCGATATAATGGACCAAGTTTAGTTAACATTAGAAGGTTGAAGTAAAAAATGAAAACGACATGAAGAAGACGAAATTGAAATACTATCATGTGTTTAACACTCATTTCCAGAAATAAATATCATTGAATTTCAACCGAGCGTTCTAATTTTTCCCTGGATGGTGGGGCTTTATCTTTGAATGAAAGACCAAATTGTTTTTTGTTGCATTTATTCTATCATTTACTTTTATTTTTAATTAGTAATAATTTATTACTAGTAGTAATAGTCAAAGGAAATCCGTTTGTTGTTGTCATTATTCTTTGCTTAAACTTCAATTACTTGTAATTTTTGTGTGTGTTTGTTTTGTTATTATGTTTTTTAAATGACACATACACCAAATTGCTGCACAATTACAATACGCCCTATATAAATATACATGTTTTAATGTAATATGGAATTTTACGTGCCGTCCAACCATATGATTGTTAGATGTACGCGTTGTTCTTCTCTTTTTTTTCACTTCTTTGTATGTTTCATTCATTTTTCACATTCTATTTCTTTCATAATAATAATTTAAATTCATCTTCATCATCATAATGGATGCACCTACTTACATTCATAAAGATTTGTTGTTTGGGATACACAAAATGTTTATTGGAATTGTTTTTCGCCGTTTTGGTTTCTCTTTTTCTCTTCTTCTTCTTCATTTTTTTTTCTCTCGATGATTATTTCGACGACCAAAGGAAAATGATCGAAGTTTTGGAACGTTTTTTGGCCATTATTTTAAAAATAGCCTTTTCCAAAAAGCCTTCTTTTGCAGGTAGGTCCTTTCTTCACATTTTATTTGCAACAAATTATGGAGTTTCAGGGGAATTTCCATTTGCCCTTCGATCGCCTTCAATTCTTTTGGATTTTTTTCTTCCATTCACAATCGATTCAATAATTACCTGAACACATATACGGGAACGTTTAAGTAAGCTAAAATGCAGCGCCGTACATTTGATCATTGAAATTTAGGTGTTTTATTTCTCACACGCTTCACATAACCGAGCTGCTCAGTTCAATCTTTGCTGGCGTTTTTTTTTTCTTTTACTTATATTACACATTTACTAATTTGGTTTCTTCAATGATAAAATGGATAATGTTTTTTTTTGATGTACGACAAATAATCAAGCAACATGAATGGAGAAACCAAGAATTTGGGGTCATGTTCATTGTAAACTTGTCAAAAAATGGTGATTTTTGTTGCTGTTGTTGTTGTATGTCTTCGTTTTTTTCGTTTAAAGTAAAGCAGTTTAGTTTTTGATCAGGCTCTTTTGCTTTTTTTAATTCACTTTTTTGATTTTGTTTGATCACACCAAGACGTTTTATTTTGGACACGTAAAAATGTGCAATGACAATACAAAACGGTTGTCATTGGAAAAATCAACGAAAAATTACGAGAAAAAAAAATGGTTATCTTTGGACAAAATGGAATAGAATTAAAGAAAAAATAACTTCGACGAGGATGAAGAAGGCCATGGTATGGTTTGTGGTGAATAAAAAATGATAAAATTATAAGCATTCATTTGTTCTAAACATTAAACGTGGAATGCTCTCGAAATGAAATAAATCACATATGCAGACGAACACTACGAAATGAAATCAACAAAAATCGGAAAAAATGTTTTCGTGTTTTTTTTTTGGTATTTTTCGGGAATAAGTAGCACAAGATAGACTTGATTGGGTGTTTTTTTTTTGAAGGAAAATCGGTAGACTGTGGGGAAGAAATTGGTTACATTCAACGACTCAACAAGGGTGCTTATGCGAAACAATTGACTCTCTCTTCATTTTTCTAAATTTCTGTCTCTTTCACTTTTTTTCTATTGATAATGCATGCGATAAAAAAGCGACACAACAATGGGAGGGTATAAAAACCAAAGAAAATGCAACGGAATCCATATCGTGATGGATGTGAGTGTGTGTATGTGTGTGTGTGTGTGTGTGTGTGTGTGTGTGGGCGGGAGAGGAATGGAGAGGTGATGAAGGGTAGGACCAAAGTAAAAACAAATGTTCTTTTTTCAGGTGTGCATTATTATTGGCGCAAGATTTTGTACAAGAAAAATATAATTACACATATACTAATTGCTTTTCGCATTCATGTTCTTCATCTTTTTTTTCCGTGTTTTGAATTGACTCTTTTAAGTCAAATGACAACTTAAGCAAAATAAACTAAAAAAAGAATGATGTATTTTATTGTTTTCTTTTTCGAAAAAAAAATTTGTTGACGTGGAATTTGTTTATTTTCATTGCCTATTCAATATATATCCAGAACGAACAATCGGATTTTTGTTTAACCAATCATTCACAATGAGGAGAATTAATAACAATTCGCTGATGCACAAGAAATGATAAAAAAAAGTGTTAGGTGAAATCATAACTAGGCGAGACATAACGACACATAATATAACGATTTTATCGCTCGTGCTTCATTAATCATTTGAAATTGTGATGGATCTGTGTGCTGGTTGCACGATCGAAAGATGCACATTATTTAAAACACGTGCACTTTTATGCCACATTGCACACATTTTGAGGCATCAACATGAAAATAAATGGGCCGAAATGCGAATTTTTTTTCATTTCAGTAAAATTTCAAATGTAATGATGTCGTTTGCTTTTAAATTCAATTAGAAAAAGTGTGGATTTCTAAGTAGTGTTTAAGTATGCATTTGTTTCATTAAATTTAGAATTATATTGAAAATGTCTATTTCGCAAGTTCCACACCTAAAGCAATCGATAGATTCGTTTATGTGTATATATATATAATTTCATTGTTTTTTTGTTCTCTTCCATCATCTGCTTCCTTCATTTTAATTCATTTTCCTCAATGCTGTTGGTTTTTTATTCATTATTTTACGAGAAATATAAAATAAGTTTACTATATATATATATATAAATGGTAATTGATTATCTCCCTATTAATAATTTGTTTTTTTTGTGCATGTTTCTTCATTTCTTCATTCATTACGTAGCGAATGCGTTCGCATTGATTCACATCTTTATTTATAATAATGGTTAGATCTGTTGTTGTTGTTGTTTGCATTGGTTACTCGTTTTGTTTTTGTGTTTCGAATGTTTTACCCATCGTGTGTGTGTGTGTGTGTTTGGAGAGTCTTGGATGTAGACAGATTTTTTATTCTTTTTCCTAAATTTTTTGATATCTTTTATTTTGGGCATCACGCACAGACAACAAAAATTGTTTATGCTTGGTCGATGGTCATAAAACGAAAATCCAATTTCGTCCGCAGTCTTTATTTAATTTCTTCATATATTTTTTAGTTTGTTTGTTTGTTTTTGTTGTTGTTAAATGTGTATTTTCTTTTGTTATCTTGTTTAAATATGTGTGTTAGTTTGATGAAACATTTCCCACTGATTACCAATTCAATTTTAATGTTTTTCTTTTCCTTTTCCATTTCCATTCATCATAATAATATGTTACCTAGTCATTTCTAGCAATTGTATTCTTACTCAAATGATCATCATTACATCGGGGGATTGGGAACAACATTTAGAAGAATTTTTTTTTGTCGCATTTGTATTTATTTATTTTTTTAGGTTTTTTTTTTGTTAGTTTGTTTGTTCTAATACATTCATAATTTACGAGCTCTATCGCTTACGATATATAATAATTAAATTTTGGTAAGAATTAAGTTTAAAGAAGAGGAAAAAAAGGGTTTCGGATACGTGTTGAAACGTCAAAATAATTAGTTCTACAGTACAGTTCGAATGATGCCTCATACACGGCATCACCCGCTTTGTCACTTGAATGTGAACTCACGACAACGATGGCGATGCACTGATCATTCAAACTGCTGCGTTTAATGTTGTTGATCCTATGGCATGGCGGTGTGAAGTTGAGAAGAAGACGTTTTTCCGTTTGTTTGATAAATTCGCGATATTCCGTGATCATTTCCACAATTTTCATTTGATAACATTGTGTTGCAAACAAATCAATTGTAATGCTAATTTCGGATGATTCTATCTCTGACTGACTCATTGTTTTTTTTTTCAAAAGTGCTACATTATTCCGAACAAAAATTTTCAGAAAATGGAAATAAGTTTTATGTGTTTGTGTGTAAAAGTAGCGATTTTTTGATTCATTTTTTTTTCTCTCTCTCAAAATTCTATTGTACAATTATTTTATCGATTTTCTTCGTTTTTGTGTGTGGTGTGTGTTCGTTAGTCTGGAATTGTTTCATCTTTTCTCTCTACAAATTGGTTAAATCCCATTTGATAGTCTATGTTCTTTTTTCTCCGTTAAAATCTATTTCAGAAAGAAATTTGTCAATGCCTAACACGAAAGAAAATACATTAGGAATAAAAAGAATTAAAAAAAAAACTAAATTAACTAACAACAACAAATGTTTTGTGTGTGTGTGTGTTTGTGTGTAATTCCCTTAAAAGTGATTTTCATCAGATGCGCGCTCACGCTCACGCACGATGCATATATGTTGTACAAAAAGAGAAGATCTGTTTGTTTACTTTTCTTCTGTTACTATCCTTGCTTTTTTACGATTACTTTCAATAAACATCGACGAAAAAAAAAATTGTTCTGCACATACTTGATTTCTTTTTCTATTCTCACCGTCTCTCATTTGTTTTTAGTCACTATCGAACTATTTATTAACTTAGATAATTTCTGCTTCTCCACTCGGTCGTTTACTAATTTAAATAAGCTTAGCAATTGTATACGTATAATTAATCTGAGAAATTGTTAAATTCTACGCTTTGTATCTTCTTTTTAATTATAAATTTTTTGTGTTGACATGATTCAATCCATTTTTTTGTTGTTGTTTGTTGATTTCCCATGTTTTTTGTTTGTTTGTTTGTTATCTTCACAATTATATTTACAAAAATAAGCGAATTCCCTTATTGAATAAAAAAACGAATTAATTTTCTTTTTTCTTCATTTATCGTACAAAACACACATTTCTGTTTAAAATATAAATTGATTAAAACGAACTAAAGAAAAGTATTCTGTAATCATCACATATTTCTTGTTTTTTTTTCTCTCTCTTTCTCTCTTTCATTACTTTAAATACAATATAATTACTTCAGTTGCTTGCTATTAATTTATTGATTAATAATGTTGTTGTTGTTAATGTTAAACTTTTTTTAAATTTAGATCTTTATGTTTAAAATTGTGTCCATTTTTCTATGGCGTTCGCTTTGTTAAAATTGTTTTTGTTTGTATCTTTACTTTTGTCCGAGAAAAAACAGTGTTTGTTTCTTCACAATTTTCTTCGATTGTTTGTAAACTGTATGAATGTTCATTTGTGCACTCGATAGCACTCGATTTTCCGTTCATGCATCTCACTTTCACTTGTCATAATACAGAACAGATTACATTCTGTCCTTGGATTTAGGTTTTCCGTTTTAAATTCAATTTCATTGTTTTTTTTTTTTTTTTGTTCAAATAATGATGGAAGTCACTGTTGTTTTGGATGTGTTTGTGGGTCGATGCGCCTAACTTTTCTTTGTCTAAATTACATTTCTCCTCCTCTCCATTTTGTCAAGGGTCTGGCCAAAATGTCGACTGATGTGTTGAAGCGCTATCATGGTTTCTTTTTCGTTTCGTCGAACTTTTTTCGTAGTGAATCACTTGTGGTTTTATCCTCTAATTATTTAGTTGGTCCGGGTGGAAATGGATTTATAACGGCAACGGCTGCTTGTTGCGGTGTCAATACGGCAGCTGTAAGAAACAAACAAACAGAGAGACACATTTAGTTTAGTTGTATTTTATTATCATCGAGCATATTGTGTGTAATTGAATAGAAATTTTAAATTTTTAAATGTTTTGGCTTTGGTTTGAATTTTGTAAAGGTCGATGTCGGAATTAACGTGAGCACGCGCGTGTGTCTGTTAGTACCGTTCGCTTCAATTTCGTGCAATCGAATTCCAGAGCCGTGATTGGGTGTTAGCGTTTTTTTTATCCGACCGACTCAGCGGTTGTAAGTGAGCTGCGTCGACAATGTCTTTGAATTCATCATAGGTTTTGGTTGAATTGACTGCTCGTAATTTTGCATCGTTTTGTAATTGGCTCAATGTATTGGCTTTGACGAGATCATAGCAAAAGTGTTCAACTTGTCGAATATCGTCGGCGGTTAAACGCGTTTTATTTAGACGTTCGCACAATTGTTCGTCAGCCATTTCTTTAATTTTTTTTTTCTTGGTGAACGCTTTTGGAGAAATTGCGACGTCGAAATGCAAAGCAATAATTCTAGGTAACTTATAGTATCGATTAGACAAATAGAGTTGAGCCCGTTGCTAGGCAAAACTGTTTTTGTTTTCTTCAAATAATGATTGAATTGTCAACAACAATAATTAAGAAATTGATGTTTGCTGCTCCATTGTGCACTTTGATTGTTGTCGTTGAACATTTAAATTTAATACATAATTTTTACGGAAACATACAAAGAGAGTAATATTAACCTGTTTGAAATTTTTCCGTTACTCTCTTCCAATTAATATATGGTTTTTCAATCTAAAAAGATTAAACAGTCAATATGGCACATCATATTTGGTTTTTTGTTTTGTTTGGTTTTATAAAGGAGAATTCCGAAAATAAAATGAACAAAAAGGAATGAAAAAAAAAAAATTATGGAAATCAAAGCATTAATGGATTGATAATTCATTTCATATTCACATACCGCTATACGCTGCTGGATACATGGGATAGCCCAAACCAACGCCAACATGGGTCTAAAGAAATGAAATAAAACGCAAATGCAATGGATTAGCCATCGAGTTTTCACACAATAGACACAATGGCACCAAAGTGTTTTTGGGGTTTTCTTTTCTTTTTTCCCAACGAAATTATGAATTTGAAGCAAAATAGAAATCTAGCAATTACATGATGGTGTGTGTGAATGTGACGCATTGCTGGCGGTGGACTTCGTTCACTGCTCGATCCTTCTTTGTTTGGTGGCATATCACCAGGAGTTCCGCTTAAATTTGCTGCGAAAAAAAAAATGAATATCATTGTGAATTAGATTTTCTATATCGTTTTTAAATGGTTTCAGGTGAAACTAAGCCGTTTATACTCACTTGGCTGTGATGCATTTGATGGGCCGCTTTTTGCACCAGTCGTGGGTGGCATCGATGTTGGTGGTGTTTGCAAATTGGCATGCCCTACGCACAAAAAAATTATTTAAAATATTTGCAATTGATTTATCGTCATCGAATTGCATTACCTGGCATTGGTCCACTGGCTGGATTCATGCTATTCGGATTCATGCTATTCGGTGGCTGTTGTGCTGATTGCTGCGAAACAGGCGGTTGCGACGCTGGATGTTGTGATTGACTGAAACATTCAATTGTTTAAATTATTCAGTTTGTGAATCAAAGAAGCACACAAACGTTGATATGTCTTACTTGTTGGCATTAATACTGGTTGGACTCTTCAGCGCACGTTCGCTCAACTCATGGATTTTGTGGGTATTATAGTATTGAGCGGCTTGATGTTGCAGGATGTCAAGTGCTTTAGAACTTGTGTTTCGTGACAAATCTTCAGGTGCATGGAATCGTGACATTTGCAAATGATATGGAGATGAATTGTACGGGACCATCATATTTCGATACATCGACGGCTCAAAACCGAATGGGCCGGGGCTCATGTATGGTGGATGAATCGCATAGAATTGCGATGTTGGAGGTGGCGGTGGCCCTTGTGATTCAAATGTTGGTTTCTGGCCAATGTCCTGCTTCGCTTTCGGCGGATCTTTTTCCTCATTCTTGGAATCTTTTGACGCTTGCTTCTGCTGCTGAGGCGTGCTATGGCCAGAACTTTTTAAATTTTTTGGCTGCGAATGATGCTCTTTTTCTCGTTCACGATCTCGCTCACGTTCACGGTCACGGTCGCGGTCACGGTCTCGGTCACGGTCTCGGTCACGGTCTCGGTCACGGTCTCGGTCACGTTCACGTTCACGGTCGCGGTCGCGGTCGCGGTCACGATGTGTTTGTCCTTGTGACGCTGGCTGCGATGGCGAATGTGGTTCCTCTTTGATATTTTGCGGCATATTGGGCATATTCGACATATTCGGTATATTCGGCATATTCGGTATATTCGGTGGCATTGGTTGGCCACCCGGTCTTCGTTGATCAGGATACATGCCGTAATATCTATTTTTGAGCGAAGAAAAAAATGATGAATCCGTTAAAATCGACGCTTCACTTCTTTGTTTAGAAAGACAACGATTTTTTACCTTCTAAGTTCTTCCTCTCGCATGTGCTGTGGCTGTGGAACGTTCAATGGTTGCCGTTGGAACATACTGGAATAAGGGCCGATTGGCGATGCATTCATATCTTTTGGATGGCCTTCGTGTGGCGGTGGAAGCGATTGGGGTTGCTTCAAATCCTTTCCAATTCCTGGCTCTGTCTTCACCATTTTGGCAGGAAGGTTCTGGCAAAAGCAAAATATGATACATTTTAGTCAATGCTGTTTGGTATGAATGCAACAAGTTGTGCCATTCATTCAAATTCGATCGATTGAATTACCTGCAATTGACTCTTAGGATTTTCGTTTGGACTAGGACTTTCTTTTAAGCGTTCTTCTTTGATCATTGGCTGTGGTGCGGGTAATTTTCCATCATCCGATACCATCGATACTGGTCCATAGTTTGGATCAATATTATATGGATATCCAGGCATATAGCTATTGTTGTTGGAAGAAAACAAATTAGTGAGTCAAATATTTCGATTTTTTTTTTCCAAGGTGGATATGAAATGATCTGGTTAAATAGCTTACTTGTATGGATAGTAGTTGCCAAGGAATTTGGCTTGTGACATAACTGGTGGTGCTCCTGGATGTGGATGCATCGATCGACTTGTTATTTCTGGCGTCGTTACTGGTGTGGTAACTGACGCTGTTACAGGTGCTACACGAATTAAGAAGAAAACATTTCGATGAGTTCAATTTCATAGGATTGAGGAAAAAAATACAGCGTACCTTTATAATCTTGAATGCTTCCTGGTATCGATGTTGGAACCGGCTGTGGTGTGCTTTGTTTTCCATTAGCATGTTCGGGCGCAGTGGCCGATGTTGCTGGTTGCGCTTGTGGAACTGTTGAAATCAAAAATCGAGCATTATTATCTAAATCACATCGAAATCGACTGAACGAATGTCATCGTGTGTCATTTGGTTCCAAATTTTGGTAAAAAGATATAAATAAGAGAAAAAAGAAAGGGGCGCTTTTCCGAAAAACAATGTCAAATGTAATAGAAAAAAATGCGTTCGTGTGTTGTGGTTTCGTGTGTGATCAAAAAAATTTTGAAGTGGTAAAAAATTTGGACAAGTGAGAAAGAGAGAATCAAATCGATAAATCCAGAATAGATTTGTAAAATGAAAGCAAAAGAAGCAAGTGCATTCCAAAACGGTTTTTTTATTTTTGTTTTTGTTTTTAATTTTGTTGTTTGTTCATTGATTTTGGTTCGTCTGTGTTTCATGCGAATTGTTGTTACATCTTATGTGAAATACTCACATTCACAGAAATGGTATATTCCATAGCCCATTTGGGACGATTGCGGAGGTAATGTTTCACCAACTTTCTTTGGCAGAATGTCGGCAGGATGCTTAACTGCTTGATTCTTATCTTTAAACATTCCTACACAATTGAGGTTTTTGTTTTGTTTGAATTCATTTTTATACATTTCACCACCCCAGTACAATTTCATGTATATATGTATGTATGTATATATAGAGAGAGAGACAAACTATGTAGCAAAAAATAGAAAAATTGCTTACCGCTCATTTCGGATTCAGCAACTGGTGTTGAATCGTCGGATATATCGCTGTAAGCCGGACTCTGTACATCGTCTCTTTCACGCGACGTATTTTCAAAGTCATTAGTGCCTTCTTTTCGTTGCTTTTTCTGTGTTTTCACCATTGAAACGGGCTGCGGGCCTGGTGTCGATGCTGCAAGAGGAAAATTTCGATTAAAAAATATGCTCTCTTCTAGTTAACGTCTCGTTCATTCGTTACCTTTTGCTTGACCCTCGCTCTTGGGCGTTTGTATGGAATTATTATTCGCGGGATGAGGTTGACCAACTAATGGCAATGCGATCGGTGGTTCAGATGTCACACTTGGGCTCGTTTGATTTGATTCCTGTATCGCTGAGGCAGGCGCCGAACTGGGCTTTGTTTCAAGTGAAGGTGTTGGTGTTCGCGATCTCTGCACCGATGCCGGAGTACTGGCCGGTGTTGTTGTTGTGGTTGCTGCAGTTGTTGGCTCAGCAGCTCCACTGGCAGCATCATTTGTTTGCTCGGGTTGCGCAGGTGGTGGCGTTGGTGTTATATCGCTGAACCCTACAATTTTGAAAATAGAAAATTTGTTAGATTTGAACACTTTCTATGGCTGATTAAAAAATGCGGAACTCTTTTCGAGGAGAAGAAAGAAGCACATACCAGATGCTACGATCGATTCGAACGAAGACAACGAGGATCGTGACGATGGTAATGGTGACGAATGAATAGCCGCTGCATGCTTTGGAAGTGGCGGAGGCGATTCGGGCAACTGTTGCGAATCACGTGGAGATTCGGGCAATTGTTGTGAATCCTCATCCATCGAACCGGCTCCATGAGCATGACTCTGATGATATTTCAAACCATTGGCGTGCTTATACTTTTTGCTACAGTCTAAAAAACAACAACGATAAAAAACATTAAATTCTCGTTCTAAATTGAACACAAAATAATCATGGTTACCTTGTTCAGGGCATTCTAACAAAATAGGCGAGATCGCACAAGGTGTAGTGGTTTTCACTTTCTTCGGAATCTGCACATTTAAATCAGACTGCAACGAAAGAAGAAGAAAAATGGTTTTACATTGCGATTCATTGAAAATGAAATGAATACGGGCTTTGGAATGAATATGCTTACATTTGTGGCACTTCCACTATTACTGCCATTGCTGTCGCTTCCGTTAAACGATGGCGGTGGACTGTCGTCTTTTGACTTTCGCTTTTCAGCTCGACGCGCTGTTCAATTGTAAATTCCATTTCCATTAATAATTCGTGCCTACAAAATCATTCATGTGAAAGAGACGGCAAAAGACTTACCGTTTGTCGGAAGAAAACTGTCTGGTGGAGAGGCTGTGATCGAACTAATGTTTGTTGAATTAATACCCACGTTTGACGCAGTAATGGTTGTCGTTGTGTTGGTTGTATTTGTTGTGGAGCTGGTTGACGTTCGCGCAGCTCGTGCTTTTGCGCTTGCATTTCGCAGTTTGCTGTGCACCTATTTTAATTGCAAAATGGAAAAAAGAATCGAGGTTTATTTTCACGCACAAAATCAATTACACGTCATATGCAGTGCAATGGAAATGAATGTTAAACTTGATGTCAAGTATTTGAGAGCTCTGTCTCTCTGGATGCATGCATTGCAAATTGAAAAAAATTATGTGTTACACAGGACTCACAGAGCTTCGGGTTTCAGTAAAGTTACTAAGATCATTAGTCGGCTGTTGTGCAGCACTTCTACCGCGTTTAGCTCGTCCTTTCGGAGTTCGAGAGTCCAACTCTTCAGTTGGTGAATCACAGAATCTGAAATCGAAATTGAATTATATGAAAATTGGCTCTCGGAAATTTTCCATTGAACTCAATTGAAAAGCAAGCAAATAGAATTTACCTTGGTGGTGCCCAATCGTGTTTGGTACAATCTAAAAGTGTGCCAACATAGGTTTTTCCTCGCCATGTAACATTAACAACTAATACGCCACCTTCAGTCTCATGCCATACAATTCCTTCTAGTGTAACGGATGTGCCTGGTTCGCATGGTCCCAAGCAATCTGGTTCCGTAATTGTTCCAACCGATGTTCCAACGCACACATCGACCATATCTTTTGGTTCGCATTTGATTTTCTTTGTTGGCGGTGGACTTGTGCTCTCCTCACCATTCGACAAGATTCCCATCTGGCATTGATAAAAACGGAAAATTTAATCAATTTTACTCGATCGAACATACGAAAAGTGATACGATCGATGCGCGATGCGTGTGTCATTTACCTTGCTATCGATTTGCGGTGATGCCGGAGCATTTGACAGTTTCAATGAAGACGATGACTTCGACTGCGAATTTGGTGTCGCCGAAATGTTGTTTGACTGGAAATTTAGTTGTGACTGTTGTTGAATGTGTGAAATAATTGTGGTTGAATATGACAACTGTGTTCAAAGTTCGTAGACAAGAAAAAAAAACGGTAAAGCAAAAATCCCATATTGAAATCAACATACAACTAGAATCGTTTTGATTTTTGTTTATGCAATTTTTTTCATTCAAAATGGATCTAGACTTTTTGGCCGATTTTTCATGTAAAGAATTCTTTTTAGCGTGTTGTTCAAATTCCGAATGTTTTGTTTTTTCCTTCGATGAAAATGTATTTGAAACTTACCTTTCCGTCGATTTGAGGTGGTCCCGGTACATTCGGTGTCTTTGACGATGATATCGAACCGGGCAGGTTTGTATTCGATCCAAATGCATTGGCAGAATTCAATGCCGATGAGATTACATTTGAATTGGATGTGTTACTGTAAAATGCATGATTGTCATTAGAAATTGAATGAGGGTGTAATTGAAACCGCTTGAACTGAATACTGTTTGTTTGTTTGTCTGTATTTGTGTATACATACTTTGCGCTCGCTTGTAATGGTGCCGAAGAAATGCGTTGAGATATCCCATTGTCAATTGAAGCACCTAACAAATCGTGTTCGGCCTTTGATGGTGTTGTTGCAGCAGACACCGATGTATTTAAATCATGGCAATTGTAATTGCGATCACTGTTTGAGGCCGAACTATTGTGAATGTCACTATTGTTTAGGTTGTTGCTATTGTTAACAGCCGTTGAAGAGTTGTTGCTACTTGCTTTATCACGTTGAGAATACGACGAAGTTTTATCACGAGTTTTGTCGCGTCGATGACTACTATTCGTACGCTTATTTGTCTGTGATGTATTCGGTGTTGATGTCAAGGCCGGACTAGACGGTAATTGTTGTTGTGACGACGATGAATTCGCCTGTGATTGGTTTTGATTCGATTGGGATTGCTGCAGGCCAGACGATGGCTGATTCTGCTGCTGTTGCAGGGAAATCTTTTTGTTTCCCGATCCCAAATTTGAAGTATTTAAACTGCAGGCGAGAGAGAGAGAGAGAGAGAGAGAGAGAGAGAGAGAGAGAGAGAGAG